AATAAGCAATTATACGTTCAAAGTGCTTTACAATCACTTAGCTATTCCTCACAACAGCCCTGTGAGGTAGGTCGACATTATTGCCCCCATTTTACAGATGGGGGAAACTGAGGCACAGAGAGGTTAAGTGTCTTGCCCAAGGTCACGCAGCAAGTGAACGCTGGAGCTAGACTAGAACCCAGGTTCCCTGACTCCCAGTGTCCTTGAAACTAGACCACACTGCTTCCAAAGAGGCATCCCCAGACTGGCTTTGAGCACGAATTAAAGACGGACAATGTTGGATGAGGTTTGGGTGTGGTGGTATTTCCCGTGGACACGTTAAGATGGAACCTGAGGTGTTACCTGGACTGGTTTTGGCATGCAGGTGTATGTGTTAGTTTAAATGGTGTCTGAGCTTCCTGGCCTGCCCACTTCCCACTGCATTCTCAACTGGGTCACTGCAGAGAGTGGGGGCTGGAGGGTCAGGAGGTCATGGCGGACTAGCATATAAAAGAAACTCTGTCAGCTCAGTGCCGAGGGGCCTGCCAGTCTTTGGGAGTTCGGGCCAACTAGGGATGCAGGACTTTGGAACAAAGTCAGCTGCCCACCTTAGACAGGTCTGCTTCATCTTTTTATTATGGTATTTTTTTACTGGCCAGCGTCAGGAAGTTGTGTTCATTTCATTTCTCTGTGGGGCGGCTGCCCCCCTCCTTTGCTCTCTCTCTCTCTTTCCCTTTCTCTGAGTCTCTGCTTGGAAGGGAAAACTGTTAAGCCTTTTGCACGTTCCCTTCCATGAAAAAGAACCACCGGGAGCAGCATCCGCGACAGGAGGCCATGGCTCTGCAGATGAGCCACACCCTGCTTCCGCCTTCTGGAGGAGTGCTTTGCTTGGAAGGGGTCTCCCTGGGGCCTTGGGTTTGCTTTTTCCTGCATTTCTCCCGAAATGCTGTTTCAGTAGAAATAAGCCCACTTGAGACTTTTCCCTTTCAAGGCCTTAGCCACAAACGCCTTCCGACTAACGAGCTTGGTGCTGTAGCTCAGGCAGAAAATTCTAAAGCATCCGTTCAAGCATCTGAAACAAATGAATCAGCCAGTGAAATCTCATCTGTTAGCATCTGTTCTCGTCTTAGATTAAAAAAAGAAAAGAAAAGAAAAAGCCTTTTTTTATGGCTTTAAATGGACTCATGCTTTTTTAAAAAAAAGAAAAATATCTTGCTACTTTTTAAACTAAGGTAACTAAGTAGCAGGTGTCCGCTACTCCACGGATTAAATGCCTGTGGAGCATGTCTTCCTCTCCTGCACTGGGCCTCCCCGAGGTGGCCGCATCAGGGCACATCCGGGACTAAGAGTCGCTGGATTCTTTATACCACCCACCCTTCCACTCGAGCACCTACATCACCAACTGTTGGCTGGGGTGCAGGCTTTCACAGAAAACCTAACCACCTAACTCTTTACCAGCTGGAAAGAATGGTTTCCTCCTTAAACCCAACCTCAGAACAGGTGAGAAAAAGACTATCCCTCTAAAGTCTTCCTGTCATTAAAGATAATCAGACTCCCATCTGGAACAACTGGGGGATAGAGTCTCCTCGGATTTCACCAGAGTATCTTTGGCATAAAGAGAATCCTTGAATGTTGAAAGAAATGAACAAAACTTTTCCCACTTTGGGATCTTTTTTTTTTTCCCCCTTTATCCATGAGACACTGGGCTAATTCATGTCTGCATCTTGCATCTGGAAGGTCTGATGGGGCACTGCTGTTTGATGGGAAGGGGACTGAGCATTTTCAAGGCTGCAAGGCTGTGTTCCTTTATTGACTTGCTCTTGGCAGAAACTTGCAGGTCACTCAATGTAGCAGTAATGGAGGGGAGAGCAAATGTGGAGTCAAACTGAAGTGGATATGGCACATGGGGAGGGGGGCGGGTGGTGAGGAAAACAAAAAGGCAGCCTGATGCAGCTTCTCTCCGACCCTCTGGAGAAGGTTGGAGAGAAGGCTGGCTTTAATGAAGATGGATGGATAGATGGAAACTGCACACTCATTCAGACCGCAGAGGCCAGAGGACACCGGGTGCCGAGCTCCTCCCGACACAAGGATCCCCTTCATGTAGAAGGGAACACCGCAGTGGGTCTGAAAAGAGGGAGACCAGATGGAGCCCCCAGGGCTGGAAACCCCAGTGCATCTGTGTGCCCTTGAGAACCATTCCATGGGGAGCAGAGAACGCGGACCTGTTCTGATCCCGCTCAGACAGATTGCACTCTACGCAGCACAAGCACGCACATGCCTACGTTGTACTTCTGCGCTCACACTCGACCTCCCATGGGCAAGCCTTCTGTCAGCCACGTGGCACACCCGGCGTGGGAGGAAGCCACTCATCCCACTTCTCAGCAGGCTGTGCCCACATCGGGGGCTTCCTTGCACGTCCTTGTACTTGTCCTAGTGACACTGTGGGTGCCACTGCCATTCAACCCCGTGTCCCTAACTGCTGTATCATCACAGAGTATTTCATCACACAGAAAGGAAGCGCCTCCTCATGCTCATTAAATGTAGAGTGACAAATCACATTTAAAGCCACTTCTAGAACAGAGGAGGCCAAAAATGTAATTAGAATTATCCTTCAAGGAGACCAGAATTTTCTATTTTTAATGTTTGCTTCAGAATCCAATACACTTTCAGAATTTATCAGTCAAGATTATGAACACAACTTAATCTTCTAGGCTGTGTACTCAACATAAATTATAGTCATAGCCTCAACTCCCAACAGAACCAGGTAAAGATGCACTGGTATCATCATCTAACAGGAAATGTTTAATTTCACCAAGGAAATGAAACTCTTTCTACAAACAACAAAATGAAAAATGTTTAGGAGAAAAACATTATTGTAATGCAATGTGTTGGTCTTTTACCCCATGACTTATAAATGTAGCTTTAGCACCATTTGAAACTGCAACTTAAAAAGACTCGGGGAAGCCCATCCATGAAATGTGATAATTATTTAGCCATGTGTTGTTTTTCAGGTTTTAAAACATCAAAACACTGTATCTAGCCACTAGAGCAGGAACTGAAGCCATCTGACTGGGAAGTCTTGGGAATTCAGGGAAGGGAGAACTCTACTCATGCGGTCATCATGCACGCCTTCCCCAGAAAACAGAAGGGTCTCCTAACACAGAGCTAACTTGGTTACTGGAAGTTATGACATAGCCATCCATGAGAGAGTATGTTTCCCCCTCAAGAAAAGTCATCAAGTGCTATGGACCCCACCACCTAGAATCCCAGAATAGCAGGCAGTTCCCTGCAGGGGGAGGGGACCGTGACACTCCCAAATCCAGCCAGTCTAGTCCTCCAGGCCCAGGACCGCTTTAGGGAAGCGCCTTCAGAAGTGCATTCATCACCCCTTCTCCTTGCACCCAACTTGGCCACGCTGCCCCCAATAATCTATGGACCACAGACCTGTTCAGACTTGCAAACACATCTTTTCAGTTTGCTTTCATCTTTCTAAGGCTACTTGTGAGTGGTGGTCGGGAGGAGGGCTTTCCCTTTTGCAGACTGGAGGGGCCAGAGGGGAAAGTTTTACTCACAAATTCCACAACCTGAGACAGCAATGGACTACTGGACTGAGCCTGTGGTTCACTGAGCCACCTTTAGGACAGGTGATCAGAGAAATAAAGATCGGAAATCGTCTTCAGCTGGATTGAGCATCCTTGCTTCCCCTGGCTCTGCAGCTGTCGGGCAGAGCAGAGGTGTCCTCACGAAGGACATCTACTACCCCACCATCTGCATATGCACCCATCTGCCCTCACTCATGGCCATTCACGTTTATGTCCTCTCTCGCAGCAAGCTCACAGATAAGCCCTCCCTTCACTGCACCATTGCTTGGAACACAAAACAACACTGGGCGTTTCTCTCCAGAAAAAAGTGAAGGACTATGCCACACTGAACCCTGCTAATACCCTACAGGGCCCAATGTAAGACTCGTGATGATAACAGGGACATAAAAGTCATTTTAAAGTAAACAAATGAACAGGAAAAAACTCTATCTTACTCGTGATGGACTTCAGGCACGTGGGTAGCAGAGACGATGGGGCTTTGGTTAGTTTGGACAGGTGTTTCTGCAGCTTGCCAACCTCTGTAGTTCCCTTTTGCTGGTTCTTAACATCTCATTCCCTCTTCACCCTGCTTTCTCTGTTGCCAGTGCTCGCTCACAAACTTCCCTTCGTGGCCCCTCCTCCTGCAAGCTTCACAGTGACCCCCTTCCTCCACACACCTGCTTCCCGTGCCAGAGATCTGGGCTTACCTAGAGTTCTACATCCTTGAATGCATGGACCCTGGCTGGAACCAGAGGTTCCTGTAAGCCGCACCCACACTCCAGGAGCCTGGGGCGAGCCAGAGCTGGCACAGGGGGAGGGCCCAGAGGCTGGCCTGGGCACAGAGCAGCGTTTGCACAGCAAGCCTCACGGCTGTCAGGAAACATACACAGAGACAGACACACTGTGACACACGCGCACACACACACACCCATCTGCACGCACACACACACCAGGAGGTGATGGATGTTACTGAAATGGACTGAAAACCAACAAGCAGTGGGGTAAGAAACAAACAGAAACAAAACAAAGCACTTGCGTTCAGATGGAAAGCTGTTTCCTGGGCAGCTAGGGCCCGAGCCCGGGACTGGGGGGAGGTGGGTGCCTGCCTAAGGACCCTGTCTTTGGAGAAGCCGGGAGGAGACAGGGTACAAGGCCAGCGCTGGCCCCCCGGGGCCTGCCAGGGCTGTACCTCCGCCGCTGTCCTGGGGGCCCTGCCACCCGGGCCATGGCAGGTGCGGGCACAACAGACAAAGCAAGGAGAGGGGGGCACTTACCTCATAGCCCAGAAATGGCTAGTCCGCATTTTGGGGGGTGTGCGGTATCTCAGTTTAAACAAAATCCTTGTGGCACCGCTCAACCATGAATAGCCAGCTCTCTAGTATTTCAAATAAGCTTGTAAAATGGTTAGTGAAAAGAGAAGAAAACAAAAGGACAATTCACCTGTAGGGCAATGGTGGTGTTCTTCGCAGGGTATTTTCCCACCAGGCCTTGTTCTTTCCGTTTCTTGAATTTCCTAAAGTAGTCCTGTATCAGGAAAGTGGCATAGAACTTCCCCACGGTTACCTCATCATCTAAACGGAGAGACCAGACAGAGCTCTCCCGAATCAGCACATTTGCACCAGGAGCCTCAACTCTCGCTGGGGGCCAGGGCTGGGGCGGGGCGGGACAGCGCCCAGGGCATTGAGCTCTGGGCTGAGGACCCGGGAGACTAAATCTAGCAAAAAGCAAGGTTTTGCAAAGCAGTTAAGGCTCAAAATTAGAGTCAGTCCCATGAACTGATACTCAAAATTGCAGAAAACGGTATTTGTCATGAGTTTATTAGAGCAGCGTATTAGTAACACTATGGAGTGCTGTCTTGGTTATTTACTGAAAATAAAAATTACGAAACAAAAAAAGACTTCCTGGGTCCTATTTTTACCCCTGCGCATAGAGATTTGCATGTGTAATTACCATGAACACCAAGGCAATTAACCATCCAAATCCTGATGCTTTGAGATAAAGACAGAGACCTCAGAAAGTGACAGACAAGCTCGGAAGAGGAGGAAGGTTCAGGAAAGTGGCTGCAAACCCAGATTTTCACGTGCCCCCGTGATTCTGTTGCAATAGCCTCCATATGCCATTTCTCTGTTTGTAATCCAGAACTGCTTATTTTTGGCAGTGCAAGTGACAGCTCCAACTAACCTCGAAGTTGAGCTTACTTCTGCTTTGTTCGGAACAACTCCAGCATGTACCGCTGGGGCACTGGAACTCCGCTGAGCATTTTAAAGGTGATGCATGAGGCAGAATAGAGGCTCTGGCTGTCTCATGGTAAACCACGATGTGTTTGCCCAGGGGCCTCCACCAGACCTGCTCTCCCTGGGGTGCTCGCCCCCAGATCTGCAGTGGCCCCTGGGCAAGAAGCTTAGGGCCCCAGAAGTTGTAGAGGCTGGGAGAAGAAAGGGCTGCTGGCCCTCAGGCTTTGGGACAGCTGAGCTTGTACCCAGGCTGCACTTGCAAGAGCTGCATGCGGATCTGGGGCAAGGGGCTTGTGTTCTCATCTATAAATGGGGCCACACCTCTTAGAGGTGCTGTGAGCATGATCCGAGAGGAGGCCTGGAAGCACCCGGCCCCATGCTAGGGTGGTCCGAAGTGCCTGGGCTGGATGACAGTGAGCCGGCAGCCTGCTGATGGTGCCATCCATTGAAATGGATGGTGGAACATGACATGTGGGAAGCGTCCCCATCTGGATACTGCTGGGCTGCTGTACGCACCTCTCCAAACTTCCCTGTCAGGAACCACTCGGTGTTACTGAGTAAGAAGATGCCTTGGGGCAGCTGGCCTCGAGAAGAGCACTGTGTTCCTCACGAACCCCAGCCAAGAAGTCTGAAGTGGTGTCAGGGCCACCAAAGGGAGGAAGGCTTTGGGTAGCATGTGAAACTATGTCCCACATCTGTCTCAGGCTGGTCCAAATAGCCTAATGATGCACTGCCCATGGGCAAGGAGGTGAGAGGTGGACAGACCATTTAGGTCTCAACACTTCATTCCTACTTTGCTCTCAAGCTGCTCCTAATTTTGCCCAGGGTACATCTGGTATATACCTTCTAGCTACCTCTATTCTTGGGCATCCATGTTCCCAGAGGAACTCCATGTGGGTGTCATGGCCTCTTCACAAACAGCTCTGAGATGGTGGGATGGCTTTCCCCTCAACAGATGCAGCGGGGTTGAATGACCTGCCCTGGCCGGTTGAGTTGGGATGTGAGCCCAGGGCAGTAGGCCTCCCAAACGTGGGCTCTCCTCTTCCTCCACACCGCCCACTCAGGGACTGCCCAGCTCTGGCCACACACCACCTACTTCTTTGGGGCTGCCTCCCCCAGAGTACAAGTCTCTCTACTGAGCTGCATGCGGGAGGTGGGCTCACAGTGGACAACCCTGGGGGACCTAGGGGGCCTCTGCCTTCTGTGCCACAGCTATCCCCTGCAGTCCAGGGTATCAAGTCTTCCCTGTGGGCTCCCAGAAAAAAACACTAGGTTCACAGAAGGCCCACCTCATTCCACACTGGGATGTTTCCCGTAAATGCAGGCCTGATCCTTTTCTCCCTTCAGCCCAGATGGTGCTGGCCTGGAGGGGCCCAGGAGGCTCTTGCAGGAGGGTCTTGGCTCTCTTTGGCCCAGAACTGGGGGAAGCAGGGTGCTCAGTGCAGAGGGCTGACTGTGGTTCTGCCTGAGTGGCCACTCCAGAGCGGAGGCAGACCACCACTTGGTGTTCTCCACTGAGATGCTAAGCTAATTGAGGCTGGGCTGAGGAAAGCTCTCAAGAACAGGAAAAATCAAAGCTAGAGTTGGTTAGAAAAGGAAGGGACAGAAGGAATGGTTACAGTGAGGCTGTCGGGGCTCAGGCCTGGAGAGAAAGAGATGGGGTCAGGTTTTTGAGCTCTTCAGGGCAAAGGAGCCAAAGATCCAGATCAAGGAGTGGAGGCCCAAAGGAAGGACAGCCCCTGGGAGAATAGGGGACTCCTACAGAAAGGGGGAAGAGCCATGACACGGCAGAGGACTGAAGAGTAGAGCAGAGGACAGGAGCAAGATTCGGAGATGGGCAAGGGGACCACTGAGCACAGGTGATGGAGAGGACAGGCAGACTATGCCCGAGGCCACAGGCCCCTGCACTGCCACGGTGCAGAAGGACAGTTCCCCACTGCTCCTCTGGGGCTGGCTCCTGGGGCCGCCTCCTTCTCAGAAGCTTGTGATGACCTGGGCGGGCGGGGGGGGGGGGCACCGCACACCACCCTGAGCTACAAAGCCTCCCGAGATGGGCCCCTGCCCCACTGCCACCAGGCCTGTGAGGGGCTCCCTGATGCCCCACATGGGCCAGTCCCAGACACGGGGAGCAGGAGGCCTGGTGGAATCTGCCGCTCTGGCAGGACACTGAGCCCCTCGGCCCTGGGAGCTAGCCATCTGCTGGCCCAGAGGCCATTTTCCAAGTGTGCCACAATGTGGGTGAGGCTGGGAACCAATGGTCTACTGGAAGAGAAAAGAAGCAACAGAGAGAACTGGTGGAATGCAGGCAGTAAAATCCTGCCCCGCATGCACCTCCTACAGAGTGTGTTCGCGAATGCCTGAGAGTCCCTGCCTGCCACAAACCTCTCCAGCGCAGTAGCACTTGGGGTTCGGCCTGGAGGAGCACCATCCTAAAGACACACTCAAACAGTGCAGCAAGCCAGCCCCTAAGGCCTGCTGCCTTCCCGGGTTTCACTGTGCTCCTGCTGCCATTTTGGAATAGATGAACACCTGTCATCCTAAACCCCAATCTTTTCTGAGAAATACAGAGAAAAGGCCAGGCCCAGCTATCAGGCCAAGAAAGCGGAAGGATATTTGGCTTTTACTAGCAGTCTAGCAGAGCTAAAATTTGATCTGTTTTGAGGGCACTAGCATGGTGAGCCAAACTCTGGACCTTTTTTTTCCTGGTCTAATTAAAAGAAAGAAAGCTTCACAGTAATGCGACTATGCTCCCCAAGATGCTGGGATGAGACTGGTTTGTGAAGAAGGTGGCCAGTCAGCAGAGGGGTGCTGGGGCAGGGTGGGCCAGCCCTGGGGGGAGGTGGAGAGGGGCAGGGTTTACCGGGACGTGCGCAGCCGCTATTCTGAAGCATGCATCTGGATTTGAGAAACAGTGTAGGGGAATACGGCTGCCAAGAGATAACCCTGATTCCATGCCACCACCCTAAAACAGAATTGCTTCAGAATATTCTGAAAGACTGAGACTTGAAAGGAATGGAGGCTGCAGAAAAAGCTCAAGCACATTGTTACAACAATCTTAAAAAGCAATTTCTCTAAGCCATGCGAGCACTGGGTGCGCAGCTGCAAGGAAAAGAATGAAACTGAAGAGTCGTTTTAAATGTGCAGCATCAGTTCTCCTGTGGGGGGCCTGGGTGCTCCAGGTGGGAGCTGATGGTTTTCTGTTCTTTGGTTTTGGGCGGAGGGGCGGGGGGGGGGGGGTTGTGTGTGTGCGTGCGTGCTTTCCCTTTATCATTTCTTTGGGACCGTCTCCACCAGCTTTGAGCAGGTGGCTGTGCCAGCTAGGGGTGGCTCCCTCCAGCGACAAAAGCTCACACTGCTCTGGCTTCATGCGGAGGAGCAGACCTAGGCGCCATGCTGCTCGCTCGCTCTCTCTCTCTCTTTCTCTGCCTCCCAAGAGCCAGAGACTGTCACCTTCTCAGAGGGAGAGGCCTTGGCCATGGTCCTGGCCCCGGGTCCCGGAGTCGGCTTCCAGCCCTGAGCCCAACCAATCTCGAAAGTTGTAGGAGCAGTGATGCTAGAAAAGTGTGGTTGGTTACAAAACACACCGAATGCTCACAGTGTGCCCGGGGCTAGGGGCAGCTAGAATACTGGGGTTGTGGCACGGAGTGAACGGATCCTGCACCTTTAAAACGTGAAAATAAAATAGTCACGAAACAACCACCTCAACGTCTAAGTCCAGTGTACTTAAACAAAAATGGAAAAACGGTATATATATTATATATATGTGCGTCATATATATATATACATCTGAAAAAGTTTAGTCCGTTATTTTATGACAAATAACAAAAGGAAATAAGCATGCCTGTTAGTTCTGACTCTAAACTCCAGTTAAAGGGACATTTTCGGTAATTATGATGGTAAACTCAGTCCTGAGAAGAACATTTCAAAAATGCCATTTTCTGAAAGCTATCTATTTTTTCTGAGACGTTTTCAACAACATGTTGAAGGATAAATGGAAACTAACTTTAAATATTTCATTTTGTTTGAAAAAATACACGCTCTTTGGTTTGAGACAGTAAGCTCGTTCTCCCATGGTAATTCTTCCACCGACCAGAAAACCCCTGCCCCAGCCATCTGGGTCTTGGGTCTCCTTCCCACTGAATCCTCTCCTTTGTCTGGAATGGTCCTCCTGTTACCCCAAATAATTACACCAAAAGGCCGAAAAGCCTTCTTTAGCTGTGGGCCCGAATGCTCTAGCGGATACGTAAAGCATTCTGCAAACCCTCTCTGGGGCTTGCTGGAGATCCTTGCGCTGAAACCAATGCATTAGCCAAGAACCACTTAGGAAATAGATTGCACTGACCACCAGCTGGAGGGACAACTTGGTCAAGCAGTTTCATGCTAGTTTTCTTCCAGATTTTCTTGATCACAGCTCGGAGTTCTTCATTAGCTTGTTCCAGGTTCCCTAAATTCAGAAAGCAAGAGGGGAAAATGAGCCTTGCTTCTCTCTCTTTTTTTGGGGGGGGGGGGGCAAAAATGAACTATTGGGACTTCATCAAGATACAAAGCTTTTGCACAGCAAAGGAAACAGTCAACAAAACTGAAAGACAACCGACAGAATGGGAGAAGATATCTGCAAATGACATATCAGATAAAGAGCTAGTATCCAAAATCTATAAAGAGCCTTGCTTCTCTTAGCCAGCTCTCCTGTCTGTTCCCACAGGGCTGCTTCCCTCCCAGCTGGCCTGGAGCAGAGACCTCAGACAGGACGGGGCTCCCCTCCCCCGGGGCTCTCCAGTGGAGGGGTAGCAGGCAAATAGTGGGCGAGCCTTCCACTGGGTAGTCACCCCACGGTAGGAACCGTGTTTTATTCTGGAATTCCAGGCCTATGCAGCCTGATCTCATCCTACCCTCCCACAGCCAAGACGCACCCCTTCCCACTGCCCCCAGCTAGAATGCCTTCTATTCCTCCGCTGCCTGTTCCAAACACTGCCTCCATTTCACCCAAATGAGAAATTCTCTCAATTCCTACTGCATGTACTCATCAGCACCACAAAAGCCTGGTCTTTTATTATATGGGCTGAAGCCTGTCTCCTCAGCTAAGCTGTCAGTCCCCAAGACCACCCTGCCTTCTGCCCCGCCCAGGCCCGCTGGCTGGGCCAGGTACGGGTGAGCACACTGCCAGGGGTACTGGGAGCTTGGAGGGACTGGCTTTGAGCAGAGGTTCACCTAGAGCTCCGGGGCTACTGCCCTGCCGGCCCCTCTTCCCTCTCGTCCACGGAGTGTGCCAAGAGTTGGCTCCTTCACAGCCTCCACTCTCCCACCTCCTGTCACTCCTCAACCTGCTGCAATCTGCTTTCTGTCCCACTCTCATGCCATCATTGAGCCAACCCCAGCGGCCACCCTCCAGGGCTGAGTGTTTGACATCAGCGGGGAAGATGCAGCTGCTAATAGTCCCTAAGTGCCGGCTTTGTGCCCGCCTGGCAGAGGGGCTCCTGCAGACATCCTCTCATCTCAGCCTCGGGACTCCGCCGGGACTCCTCCGGATGGAGGCGTACTTACTCCTTTTCAACAGAGGAAGAAGCTACAGCTCAGCACTGTGAAATCCCTCTCTGAAGGTCACTTGTGATGGTCCTGTCTCTGCCCCAGCCCCCCTCCCCCGCCTAATCTCTCCTGCTCCGTAAGCAAGCAGTGGCAGGGGTCACCGCAAAACTTTCTGGGACAAAATGAAGCATAAAGGCAGGCAGGGACAGCCAGCTGGCCCAGCACTCACTGCCCCTTCCCCACGGCCTCCCCTTCGACAAGAAAAGGCCCAGATGGGAGAACGCAAGGTGGGATATGGCATCCATCGTCCTGTCCCAGGGATGCTCACCTTCCGTCTTGATTTTAAGAGCCGTTCGAACCAAAGCAAACAGGGTTGCATTAAACATGACCGTCCCATCACTGTTGAGAGGCATGTTCATGGCCACTAGTCTCTGTAAACAGAAAAGTTTCTCAATAGAAGGCAAATGATGGATTACGGCCATGTTACTTCTCGGTGTTGATTCTCTCTTTATCCCTTGCCTCCTCCTAGTCAACAGTTCAATTCCACAACTCCTTAGGGAGCACCTAGCACCTGGGGGTACTCGGAGCTGGCACAGATCAAGGCTTTAGTCGTGAAACACACATGCTGGCACGCGGATGGTGTGCTTTGCTTGTTTTTAACCTCAAATGTTTAAGACCTGACTGTTCAAGTGCTCTTCTGTCCCTCACCACATGTCAGGGTCAGGCCTCCCTTCTGGGCACATCCTTAAAGCTGTCGTAGGGGTGAGACAATACACCAGGTATGACAAGCCAGGCACAGGGACTGGGGCTTGGGTCTTCACTACTCCTAACATAGGGAGTGTCCTTTAGGGAACCCTACCCTGGTGGGACCGTCATGCTTGCAGTGGGACCCCCTTTAAGTCCACACGGTTGCTCTGTCTGGTCTTCCAGAGCAGGACCCCCACTTCCCGCTTCTCTTCTCCCTTCTGGTCCCTCGAACACTAGCACTGGGAGCTGAGGAGGGGGTTTGAGGGAGTGACACCCTCTCTGGGCCCTGGTTACCTCCCATACAGATGGCACACCCAGCTGGGATTAAGGCAGATCATGGATGCTAAAATTTCAGGGGATGCCTGGCATGTGATCAGAGCTAAGTAAGTGGTATTTGTAATTGTTAATGGTTCCAAATTTCTTATTTTGGGCTGGCAAAGTGTCCTAAGAGATTTTTAATGCTTTTTCTCTTCCCTATTAAGGGACTGGAATCTCATGTTTGCATGACTCATCCGACCTAAATTTCTAGTCCTATTACCAACCATGCCTGTCTCCAAACCCAGCACAGGTAGCCAGGAGAGCCTGCATGTCCATTCACTTTCTCTGGCAAGTTCCTGAATCAGCAAAATGGACCACGTTGTGCCTCAAGGATACTTAGATCCTTTATATAAAAGGGTCTGGAGACGTAAACACAAAACAACAGCCATAAGCTGGAACCCATCTTGTTCTTGGAAAGCAGAAAAGAAATTTATGAAAAAAAGTCCACTTCTGTGGCTTATTCTTTGTACCTTCATCCAGAGTCCAGGCTACAGAGAAGCAACAATGTGGGCAAAGACCCAAGGACCTGCCAATAGGGTTTTCTGGACTTTCAGGGCAGAGAACAATGAGTTTGTCTCCAAAGATTTCTTTGAAATTTCTCTGCAATACGTTATAGACTCCACTCTGTTACTTTGGGTTCTGTCTAGAGCTGGCCCAGCAACACTGGGTAAAACCCCTGAACCCAGAAGTGTCTCGGACCCAGGGGGAGAGGTGACCAGCTGTCATGTGGCTGGCTGGATTTCTAGAGGCAGTTGCAGTAAGCAAATCTTGCATGTCTCCTTCAGAAAGGGGAATTATTTTCTGTTGCTACGTTAACTCAAGGTGGTTCCCTGAGGGCTCTACAGAAGAACAAATCTCAGCTGGAGCTCACAGAGAGCATGGTCTGGGGTGAAAACTATAGAAGTGGCAGGGGGTGGAATGAGAGATCTGGACCAAACCCCAAGAGGCCACTGCTGATGTATGGCTCATGGGGACAGGCACTCTGGTGGCAGAGGGGTGTGCCACCATGTCCACGGTCACTCAAGCGAGGAAATAGCCAGGGCACCACGTCTTCTCCATCCTACTTCCTAAGCAGACCTTCCAGCCCTGCCCTCCTCTGTCCCCACCTCGACTGCCCTCATTCCGGGTGACTCCAACAGCTCTCTGGGTGGTCTCCTGTTTACTCCCCCATTGCCAAGGGGCAACTTCCCACCATGAAACTCTACTGATGCTTCTTTTGTGGGACTCAGCCTGGCACAGAGGGCTCCTTGGAGTTGCACTCAGCTTGTGTCCCTAGTCCTCTGCCACTTTCCCTTACGCTCCAGCGACACCAGTGACTCCCCATGTGCCAACATGATGGCCATTCTCCGACCTCCACATCTGAGCTGTGTTCCCTTTCTGCAATGCCCTCCGGCTTCTGTCCTTCTGGACCTGACACAAATGTCACCTTCCCCTCCACCCATCCAGTGACAAATGACACAATCCCCTTCCTATTCTTACTTTTGGCTGACAGGGTATCCTAAGAGTTACAAATCTGATAGCTCCTCAGGACAGAAACCACGTATGATTCATCTCTGCAACCCCAGTGCACCTGATGGAAGGCTCGGCAGAATGTCACTTAGTGTGTGTTGAATGAAGCAGAGAGTCCCTGCAGAGAGGCCACCAGACACACCAACAGGACACTTACCTTACAGGCTACTCTGTGTGGGCATAATTTCCCAAACCCCAGTGGAGGCTGGATGCGGCGGAGCAGAGTGACCACATCGAGGTGTTTTATCCTTCCTCTGGAGACAAAGAACAGCATGAGGTCCAGGGAAGCACTGGCTGGCCTGAGCTTTCACTCCATCCCACCTTCTACAAAAATCATAGCCAACACTCCAGAAACAGCCCACACAAGTCACATGGAAGCCTTTCCAACTTACTTCGCCTCAGGGTCATACTCCGACCATATTCTTTTGAATTCATCTAAATGGTGAGGCCCCAGAATAGACCAGTCCCGGGTCAGATAATCAAAGTTGTCCATGATGACAGCCACAAACAGGTTAATGATCTGAAAAAGCACATCAGAGCAAAGCTGCTTCATCTTTAGTGGAATGGATGGGCTTAGACCCTAGTAAGGGCCTCCTAATTAATTATAAGAGTGAAACATTTGGAACCCACTTCTCTGAGGCCATAAAAACTTCCTTTCTGGAGAATGTTGAAGAAAAAGGCAGGCTTCCAGCTTTCCACAATGGCTTTGGTATAGTCCCAGGGGAAAGCAGGGGGCTGTGTCATCTGGCCTTGTCGACGCACACTGCAGTTTTATAATTCTGTGGCCACCAAATACCTCACACTGTTGAGTCACTATGTGCGGTGGCTTTGGAACTTCAATAAAGACACCAGCAGCCCTAAGAAGCTGGGGTGGTGACTGTCCCAAGCCTGTTAGGGAGCCTCAAACCCCTGCTCACAACGAAGGTGCACAGGCCTGCCTGTAACACACACCTGTTGAAGAAAAACCCCCAACCGCCAAATGAAGTCTAGAGTGCTCATCAACATACAATACCCCACAGTCATTCGAGGGGGCAACATCCGTGGTCTGAATCCCAAATGCCACACAAGCATCTGTCAGTTGAGAAAGAGAGCTGTCGTGATCACCCACCAGAAACGCGCAGAGCATGTAAAAACTGATGAAATAAACAATGGCGAAGTTGCTCCCACACGTGTACTCCTCCCCGGGGTTATAGTCCGACTCGGGGTCACAGAGCTTCCCCGGGAGGCAGGCCAGCATGATCTCCTGCCAGGCTTCACCCGTGGCACACCTTGTTGAGATTAAGAAGAAGGGCTTTAGTAGACGAAGGAGCGATTTGAAGCTTAGACCTTCACACTTTTAAGAATATTTTTTTTAAAACAAAATTTGTAATTAGAGCAAAACCTAAATGATTTGGGGGAAAAGCCAGTTCGAATGAGTGAAAATTCCTAAATTGAAATTCCTACTTATTTTCAAATGCAACTTCTCTGAGTGGAGGCCCTGCTATAGCTCCCTTTGATTTAAAACAATCATTTGATATAAGCACATCAATTCTTTCTGTATAAATGGATGTTTTTGTGTCTTCTCTTCTTTAAATGTTCATGGTACAATCTTAAAATAATTACTATTTCTAATGACCTAACACCTGACAACTTGATTAGATCCCCATTCAATTTTGTTGAAAGCAAAGAACTGAAAACTACCAAATTCTAAGTGACTCGTTATTCAATCAAGAGAATCGTTAGAAATTACCCGTATAATTTCTAGAAAGTTCTCTCACTTCAAGGCACCTTGTTTACAAAGCTAGTTAACTGGGGTTAAAAACAATCCTATAAAATCTGAAACTGTGCATCTTGGATGTTCCCTGTTGGCTGTGCAAAGGCCCTTTCTGTTCTTGCTATATTTCCACGTTCCTGGGTGTGTTCAAGTGCATGCTCCCATGCATAAGTATGTATCCTACCATTTTCCTGGTGGCCTTAGTAGCTTCCAAAGGGATAACCCTTTGATGACCTACTAGCTTCCAAAGGGATAACCCTTAAGCTGGCCACAGTCTGAATGACCATAGCAGTTTCCACAATCCAGCGAAATTCCTCTGACTGAAATGCTAAGGTCTTTGTTCAAGAATACAAAACAAATACAACAAGCCACCACCATCAGCCAGGAGGGGCCACACTGCTGTAACAGGGCACGTGTCCTGGGTCCCTCTGGAGCCCAGAGCCAGGGAGAGATGTGCCCTCGTGGGACGCAGTCACCTGAAGAGCAGCAGCACCGCCTGGGGAAAGGTCTGGAAATTGTTGTTCCTGTTGATCTGGTTGTTATCTCTCATAGCAACCTTCCCAAACATCTGGGTGGAGAAATTATTAGGGAAATAAAGATTTTGTTAAAAAAAAAAAAAAAAAGCAAAACTCTCCACGAAACCTATTCCACATGTGAATTTCGAACACAGGATTGATCAACACCTAGTAGGGCTCTCTCACAGTGCTTGGCACTTCATTCACTCAGCAAACATGGGGCGGGCACCGTGCTAACTGCTGGGAGCCCAGTGCCGAAGTCAGGAGCATCCTCACCTCAGGGAGTTCCTACCAGGCAACCAGACAGACAGCCCCTCCTGCAGAGAGCTGGCCTGATCCAGCCCGACAGGGAAGCGCATAACGGATCTGCAGCCAGGGGCTGGGGTCAGGAAAGGCCTCTGGAGGAGTGACATTTAGGCCCAGAACTGAAGGCACAGTGGAGGCTAGTCAGGTGAGCAGGAGGGTGGGGTGTCTGGGCAGAGGAAGCACTGCCTGCAAAGAGCAGAGGGGACACGGCCCAGGAGCCCCAGGAAATGAAAAGAACATGAGTGTGCACAGACAAAAGATCCAGCTACAGACAAACGTGGGGGCCAGTGAGCCACAGAGAAGAGAGAGGCCTTTCCTGGAAGGGCAAGGGGAAGTTAGCTGCAGGACTTGTAGAAAAGCAGGCCATTTTAGAAGAACCTGGCAAAGCCTCCTGAGCAAACTGGTGATGGTGTGTGCAGGGCAGCTTGCAGGTCTCCAAGACAGCTGTTTTGTAGGAGAACATCAGGTCATAAATGGCCATTTGGGGCACAAAGCATCCCACACTGAATTACAAGGGCTCAAGTAGGTCAACTCTTCATTCACAACTCCCAAATAGATCCCTATCGAACTGCAAATTTTTCTATGCCTTCAGATAAGGAAGCGCAGCCACCCCTCTGCCTTGGAATCACCCCACCTCTTTGACCCTTGCATCCCCCCTTATCTGAAAGACAGTATCCAAAACAGCAGAGCATGTGGCAGAGAGACCCCCCCAGGAGGTCCAGCAGGCTGCTCTCCACCTCCTTCTCCTCCTGGAGGCTGTGCCTACCCTGCTAGGGCTCAGCTCAGCAGTGAATGAAGCCCCAATCCCTTTCCACACCCCCAGAGAGGCGGGGAAGAATCCTGCAGCCCCTCAGCCATAGTCACAGAAGGGCCTGGTTTCGTGCTTCTTTTTTAAAAGGGCGCTATCCATGCCAAATAATGATCCCAGTGCAGCCCCCACCGTAGCATCTGGGAGCAGGTGGTTTTAAGTAAGAATCTAGCTGGTTGTGATAAAACATAACTTTCCAGGCCATCAACAGACTTTGGTATCATTAAATATCTTCTTAGTAACATCAGTACACAAGCCAAAACAATTACAGCTTCTCTCAGTGTGCTATTTCCTGTTGCTGAAACCAACTGTGGGTTTTCTCCATCAGTTGAGTTTCCCAAGACTCAGACTTGGGGGTGAGGAGTACCACTACCCCCAGGCTTCCCTGGCATGTCCCAACCTCTCCCTGCTCTTCTGAGCCTGGCTATCCCCCGCAGAGGCACTTGCCTGCAAAATCAGGACCCTGGCTTTCCATTCCCCCTGGCCAAGGCACATCTTGCCACAGATCTGGGGCTACCCAGCAAAGGGGACACAGGGGGAAAGTGGCTAGTGCTTACCTGCATGCCAATCACCGCGTAGATGAAGAACAACATGGCTATGAGGAGGGCTACATAGGGCAGTGCCTGGAAGAAGGAAGCAGTTGGCTCAGTGCCCGCCTCTCCCCCTCCCCCACACTGTGACTGCTCGGGTATAGAATGAAGGCCCAACACAGGGCCACATGCTTCTCTTTTCTGGGTTATGCTGAAAGAACGTCGACAGTAAAGGAGGACTTTTTAAACCCCAGCCCAGCACAATAACTTCAGTCCTTAGTGTACCATCCATGCACACACCTAGTGTTACGAATCTATGGGCAGGATATGCTTTCCACCATCATTAACAGTATAACCTGACCCTAAATAAAAGGTGTCAGGGCAGACGTATCACCCACACAATAATGTTTATATGCATCATTGGATTCCTTTGTGAAATTATCATAATTGATCAAACCATTCCAGAACACTGGATATTTAGATTGTTTCCACTTTCTTTCGTGGGCATGTTTGGGGTGGGGGCGAGGTCTATTGTAGATCACACTTTGCAAAGGAACATCTTTGTGCAAAACCACCCATGTCTGCTTCAGGTGAGGTCTTGGGAGTGAAATTACTGGGGCCAAGGGGAAGAACCACTTTCTGCCTGCTATTGCAGAAAGCAAGACATCTTTCTTAAAATGCACACTTTCTGAAAGAATGCGAGTTGGCGGTTGGGTCAGGGAAAAGAAAGGGAGCTAGCTGGGTGGTCGCCAAACCTGGACTCTCCTTAAGAACACTAGATACAGGTATGTATGTGTGGGGTCAGACCCCTGGTCCTCTCATCCCTGTTCCTCAACTATTTATTTTTAGGACATGTCGTGTGACATGCACATGGTACACCTCCAGGTAGTGGCCAGAGCACTCATGGCGAAAGTATCTACTTTTTCTTTTATCCACAAAAGGTCATCAGAAAGCCAGTGGCTAAAAACCTTCCCACTGTGCGTCCACTCTGGACCTGGGGCTGCTTGCCCAGCCCAGTGCGATAGCACTGTCCTAATGGCTGACCGCTGGCCAGAGCCCCACAGGGTTAGCTCCAGGCTTTCCTCACCGTACCTATACACATTTTCTTCCTAGATTACTGAATCTTTACGAATTCTGTTGGCACTGTTTCTCAGTTTTTGTGAACTACCACTTTGTTCGATGAATTTATCCACAGTGGCCAAACTTTTAAAAAGAAAAAGTTTAATAATTTCTTTAGAAGTAAGTATGACATTATTGCATGAATCTATTTTTATAGCAGTTCACTCGAAAACTTTGGTACTTTATATTAATAACGAATGTCTGGGATTTGACCCCTTTCTGAGACCAAGGCTCACTTGAGGCCCTGCTCGCTCTCCCCGAGAGCTGTATCCCCAGTTCTGACCACCTCAGTTCCCTGCCAGAATCTGTGATTTCCCTTCTTTGAGTTTTTGGATCTACCCCCTTTCCCGGAAGCCATCCTTTCCCTTTACGTGTTAAAATCTTACCCAAGTAGAAAAACGCTCCCTGGGACGTTAACACCAGTTACCTCAGAGGTGGTGGGCTTAGCTTGAACTTTTTCTTTACGTGTCTTTGGATAGCTTCACTTGTCAAGGTGTTTATTTCAAATTAAAAATAGTCACGAAGATTCATGATTCACTTTCTAATACTTATACATAGCTACATTTCCCTTACATAGACGAATATTTTAAATAAGAATCTGTACCCCGTCCCTAGTTAATTCAGTCGGGAAGACTAGAATATCTGGGGTGGGGTACTAAAAGGTACAGGAGAAGCTGGGTCAGTCCTGGTTCAGGCTGCACCAGCCTGGAGAGTCACAGATGACAAGTGAGGCCTGGCTTATGCCCAAATGTCCTCAATGCTGTGATCCTTGCAGGTATTGGGTACTGCAGAGATTGGGGATGGTGTGCTGGCTCAGGTGGAGTAGTCTCTGATTCATATCTAGACCAGCCAACAGAGAGGACCGTGGCAGCCTCAGGAGGAAGAGCTGTCCTGGCAAGAAGCTGTTCACTTTACGGGCGGTCTGCTGGGAGCTGCCCTCTCTCAGATGTCACCCTCCACCACTGGGCATTCCAGAGAGGACTGAGGGGCTTGGAGACTCCCCATCCCTATCCATCTGAGAAACATTACACCCCTCCTTAACTGCAAGTCCTTAGTGCCTTCTGTTTCCTTTAAGCAAGAATCCTGTCTGATTCACCAAGGACAGCTGGGTCAGGTGCCTCCATGTTCCACATCCTCTATTGACCGAGGGGGTCACAGTGGCCATGTGGAAGGGAGTCCAGATCCTCCACGACAGAGGACACTCACTGGCTCACATGTGATCTCCAAGAGCAACAGAGAAGCCCCCGGCCTGGCTCTTACCTGAAAGGACTTTATAAAAGTCCACAGCAACGTCCGGATGCCTTCCCCCCTGCTGAGAAGCTTCACCAACCGCATCACTCGGAAAAGACGGAAAAAGGTGATGGAGATTCTATTGCTCTCTTCAGAGTTCTGAAGGGTTATCATGGAGAGGTCAAACCCAATGCAAAGTAGAACATGCAACACTTTCAGAAAAACAGCAACAGATGCAAACAAAGGTGACAGAGGTAAGAACAGAAGATGTGTTTCTAGGGCCTTTTCACCTTGGAAAGCATGATATGAAAGGAAGAGTTACATGCTAACAACACAGGGCTTGGGAAACTGCGTCCACACAGCACATGCATGTCCACGTGGTCAAGTGTGTTAAGAGGAGAACACCGGGCTGGTCAAGAGTACTGGACACTGATGATGAATGCAAACCACTGCAGACACTGTTTTGGAAGGACAACCATGGAGAATACAGAAACACTACTGGGAAACTCAGCATGGTCAAGGAAAAGGCCCAGCCCTGGGGGACTCGTCACTGATCTTACCCCGGGTGTGGCGGTTGGGACAGGGACATTTTCACTTTCAGTTGGCTTTAAGAAATCAAAGATTGACAATGTATTAATGAACAGAAAGGAAGCAGTGGTTCAGAAGGATGGGCCCCTCCCCACTTTTTAAAAACTTCTGGTTGGTGTCTTAGGACAACACGGCTGTTCCCTCCCTGAGAAAATGCCAGGGGCTCTGTCTGAACCTGGACTTGAGGGTGGGCAGCCTTTGACATAGGCTCAGACATGCTACTTTCTAATTCACATCCCAGGACATGATGCTCTGAGGTTGGCAGGCATCCAGTAAAAGAGAAGGCTGCAAGACCTCAGTTGTCCCCAAAGACAGACATGCAGAGTGGGACCCTGCTTCTCACAGGCAGGCTAGTTCTCTTTGCTGAGGCAGGACTGTGGGTCTGGGGAACTAGCTGCCCTGCAGCAGGCCACTCCTAACCCCGATGAACAGGAGGAGTCTACCAAACGGGGCAGAGTGGTACCTGCCTACACCCCACATGCCTCCTGAGCCACATACCTGGGAAGGGCTGCTGAGGAGGTGGGCAAACCAAGTCAGTGTGAGTGGAGAGGGGCTGGTTTCCCCACAGAAGCCTTCAGTGCCCAGCCTACAGCCCTGACTGCTGTCAGAAAGACAGCGCTCAGCCCCGTGGGACTCTTGGGCAGCAGCAGCTTAGGACCAGCTTGCCCTGAGTTTCTGCACTTCCACCTCATCCAGGGTCTGGCTGGGCACCTATAGTTCAGGTCACAGTGGGCTGAACCACACCACTCATCACCCTTTGGGCACCTGCCTCCCCTTCAGGCAGGGACCTTGCTTCACTCAGTGCCCAGCATGCAGTCTGGCACTTATTAGATATTCAGTGTTGAAGAAACTGGAAAGAGGTTGTAAGCAAGCTCTAACAAAACAGTAAGGGCTGAACAAGAGACAAGGAATGACGGCCTCTCTGTTCCCTTTAGGAGGGTACCCTCCACTGAAGCAGCTGGTCTACCTGGTAACCGACAGAGGAATGAGCCAGTTCTTGGGGACCTGGAACTGCTGAGTGGTCCCCAGGGTTTCTAGGGAGCCTACTGCATGGCGTGTCTGCACAGCTAAGGGATGTATGCACACGCATAGATGGTGCGCACTAATCTGAGTGGTTCTCCTCCCTTGGGATACAGGGAAAGGGCTCCGTTCTGAATTCTCACTCTCATTAACAGCTGCCTCCTGAGACCAAACATAAAATTCATGGAAAAGAAGGAGTTGGGGTACATCCTATCAGAAGTGAAATTCAGCAATGTGAGGACAAACCCAGGACTAACTGGTTCTGATAGGGTTCCATAGGGGTCCCTGATTCACCCAGGATGCTCAGAAGGTGAACCCTCTAATGGCACGGTCCAAGCCCCAGTCACTGTCTTTGATTTTCCTCTTCTTTTCTCTCACCTCAAGACAAAGAACATCTTAAAGGGACAGATGATGGTTTTAACTTATGACTTTAACAAATGGAGGAATTAGTGCTCTAAAGTTCTGTCTCCCAATCTCCCTAAGGCTGTGTGCATGAGGCTTTTGGGTCTCACCCATGCAGCTGGAGTGGGAGGGTGTGTGAGTATGTGGGGGTGTGTGCATGCACGCCTCTGCCTGCCTATGCTCAAGGGGGCCAGGATGTGCCTAAAACAGAGCACTCTACGGTGATACTTTTGAGATGTCCATAACTTCTGTGTTAGACCTGCAAGAATAAGAGGGCTATTGGTCAGGGAAGACACTCTCTGGCTACGATCTGGCCCCAGCCCCTTCTGCTTGTCCTCCCCATCTCATTCCAAGTCTGATGGACCTCTCGGTGCCCCCTCCCTCAAAATGTGGTAAAGTCAGTGGCCAAACTGACATTTGAAGTGCACATCTCTTTTCCAACTGACACCTTTGAAGTATGACACATATTGGACTATGAACTTGAAACCCTGGATATTCTTAAAAAAAAAAAAATGAAGAGGAGAACCAGACAGCATTTGTGGAGGGACACGTCAGCACAACATGCAGAAAGGACAGAACAAACAGCACAGCAAGCCACATGCACCCCCAGTGCAGCCTGTGACACCTCCTCCTTCCCTCAGTGCCATGCTGGGCAGGGAGCACTGCCGTGGGGGAGGATGTTGCTGGCAGCACTGGAGGACGGTGCAAGTTGCCAAAATATCTTACAAATTGGAAGGACCCTGAAGATGGCTTTGCCCAAACTACAGATGCCAGCCAGATGCAAAGGGCAGGCCAGCTCTCATCCTGGACTGCACATTCCAACTGCCTGGGGCTGGCTCTTTTGCAGAATCTGATGCCCGGGTGACACTCCAAGGATTCTTATCTCCTTGGCTCTCCTTGGCCAGAGCTTTGGGAGTTTTAAAAGCTCCCAGGTGATTCTAAGGTGCTGCTCGAGGGAACTCCAGTCTTAAGCCAGGGTAAAGCTGGGCACATCTTCAGGTGGTCACTCACGTCAACAAATTCCTTTTGGTCTGGATGGGCCATACAGAGGGGAGCCCCTAGAAAAGCCCACTCAGGCTGTTACAGCTAAGCAGTGGGTTCTTTTGGAGTTGATGAGGGCTCAGTACCCAGACGATGCAAACAGGTTAACTGCATCCCCATTTTGCCCACAGTGGGTGGAGGAGGCTTGGAAACACAGCTGGCTTTGGAGGCTGTGGTTGGAACATGGGTGAGCTGATGCCCTGCATGATCTCGGGATCAATGACAGAATGCCCTCAGAGGCTGAGACTGGGAAAGGGTTCACTCCCTGGGTAATTTTCCAAAGACAGCCACTAGGGCTGTGTGGTCAGCCTTCAGTAGAGAGGATTCCAGTGCCATCTCCAGGCTTGGGCTGGAGGCGCTCAGCAGCTCCTTCCAACCCTGAGGGTCACTGTCTTCAGCTGGGAACCCCACAGGGAGATGGCCCTCAGCCCCAGGAGGCCAAACTGTGTGCCTGGGTCCAGAAGTCTCCTTAGATCCTGGGCACACCTGATGACCCTCCAGCCCCTTCGCACAAGGTTCTCAGGCAGGCTCTTGAGATGTAGGTTTGGGGTCAGCCCCCAGCAACTACTGGAGCCAAACAATCCCTGAGCTTCCCAAGTGCAACCAAAGAGACCAGTCTGCACTTGCTGTATTAATCCCCATCTCTTCCCGGAAAGGCTTAGATGATGTGGTTTTCCACTCCAGACAGGAAGCAAACCAGCATCACAGAACATCCTGGAGAACCTGCTCTTTGGAGGTGGGAGTGGGGGAGAGCCTCCCTCTGGCTACTTCTGACCTGGCACATAACACTTCTGGGAGAGAGGGCTTTTGTATATGGGAATGCTGAGCCTATGTCCTGGTCCCTGGAAAAAGGCTGGCACCTGGAACGGAGGGCTGAACAACCAGAAGCTGAGTACAGCTGTCGGTCACCAGGTCAGGGACAATTCCTGGGTCCCTGGGAGGGAGCTCCTTACTAACTTTTCACATGCCTTCAGTAAGTAAGAACAAGGCAGTCATAGCTTCTGCACAAGTATTTGGCCTCCCCAGCAATAATGATAGTGGGAAAGGACTCAGTGCCGGCAACAGCCACTGCCTGGGTTAGGGAAAGTGGGGTTCTGGGTCATTTTACCATTCGAGGCACCAATAGGCATCTGAGGGTGAGCAAAGGCGAGCCTGCCAGTCATCATCTGACATTTTAGCAGCTTGATGATGTTATGACCAGATGTGATAAAGACAAATCTGTGAGAGCCATCAAACCATGGTCAGAGCAAGGGGTGGGGGGGAGGTACATAGGCAGGGGCAGCAGGAGGGGGCTGAGGGGGCATCAAGCAGGACAACAGAAAGGGCCATCCAAAATGTTTTTGCAAACTACAAACGCAAGCTAGATTTCTCATTTGCAGGCCAGATCAATCATTCTTGAAGACAATGCTGGCAAGCCACACAGCCAAGCATGACTGGCTAAGATGGCCCTGGCCAGACCCCAGGTGGAGACTGGGACCCAGGGGATGGGAAACAATTTAGATGACCACAACCCATAAATAGCACACCCTGTGAAACTCAGTGAAAACCAAAGGTGGGGAAGCCACAAACAGGTATACAGTCTTTAAAGTGCTTTTGCTTTAACAACGACATCACCGTATATATGTTTATATATACTTGCCGCTACAATTTTCTAAAAATAAAACCAACATGAAAATCAATTAGGCAACAGAAAAGAAAGATCAACAGAGGTTGGGGGAGAGAGCACAGCAAGTTAAATATTGCAAAAAATGATGACTTATCGTAGCTAAAAACAGCCGACATGGACAAAGGGTGTTCAAGCTGAGCTAACCCAGGAGCTTGGGGGGTAAGGCCAGCCCAGGGATAGGATGTGCGTTGCTCCTCTGGGGAACCTGGCATGTGTGGGAGAGGGGGCTGGAGGAATTGACAGCTCCACCACTAACAGTTACACCGTCAGAAGTTAAGGACATCCAGTCTCTTTTATCTTTGTGCTCATAGCCTGCAAACTGTACGTGCCCAGGACACATGTGTTGAGAGACTGAATACATGAGAAGGTGGCTTTGAGCATTTGCCCTGCACTGCCGCCCAGCCCAGAACTGCTGAGACCTCCCAAGGGGTTCTACCGGCCCAGGGCGGACAGCTGGTTTTGCCACCAGCTGAGGGAGCTTTTGTCTCGGGCTATATCTGACCAGGGGAAAAGTCACTGACTAGAAAATGGTATAAGAATGGTCACCGGCGTGATTTTGAAAGTCTGACTGAGTGCCAGAAATGGGCCCAATGAAAGCCTGTTTTGTGCAGACACCCCAAAGTCAAATGCTAACTAGAAAGTTCAGTGTGCGTTTTTGTACCACTGCAGCTTTCCTGATGGATGACACATGAAGAAGGATATGTCTGCGACACTGATGAGCAAGGCAGGGCCAGAGGGGACAGGCACGGTGTGCTCCTGCCCCCAGCATATGGAGGGGCAGCCGGAAAGCTGGGCACGTGCTGTCAACCGAGGGCACCAGCGCCACACCTTGCCAGCCAGCGGGGGGGGGGGGGGGGGGGGGGAGAGATGAGGCATTGGGAGAGCTGGCTTGTTGGCTCAGTGAACAAACCTCGGCCACATCCTGGTACCCAGAAACCCAGCATTTATGCCCACCACCTGCACATCCCTTTCAGCACGGAGCACTCCAGGGAGAACTGCTGAAACTGTAGTTTATTCTGTTTTCATTTCCATTGCAGGCCATCTCTGACTTACATAAGGGTCTGTGCCAGAATTTTCACATAAGCAGACTTTGACAAAGGTTGTAAGTGCTTTACGTCAGGAGATGGTTAAGCAGGCAATGTCTGGTCATAAACTCAGGAGAGAGCTCATGGCAGCCCAGTTAGGGTCCTGCTGTTCTGCCATTAGCATTAGATTATTTTATAACCAAACATAATTTACGCATTATGAATGACAATTTTATAGCTGAGTTATGGGATACTTCACATAAAGTGGAATTTACCTAAGTCTGGGCTCACGGAGGTTGGGGGATGTATCTTCCTGGGTCTAGGAAAATACCACTTTAGTCCCTTGTCATGGCATGGATTGGGGTGTTGTGAGGCATCCATCACACCCTCGTGGACGTGCCTTACAGTCCATTTCACTTGTTAGTCCATGGAAAATCTACACTTGGATAACAGCCTTTATCTCCCTAATACTTTAAGTTTTGTAACCAGTGTTTTCACAAATATCTGCATCATTTTATTCCCCCGACACACCTATGAAGCAGGGAGGGCAGATATCATTCGCCCCAGCTGATCCATGGGGAACTGAGGCCCAGGTCCAACAAGTCAGTTTTGAACCAAGACCAGAACTGTCAGGCCTTAGGAGTGCCGGGCCGGTGGCCGTCCCACTGGTCTGTGATCTAGGCTTAGCTTAGCCCCAAAGCAGTGGTATAAAGAGGGACTGCACCATCCTTATTTGATACAGGCTGTCTGGACACCAGGACAGGCCGTACAACCCTGCAGATGTCAGCCAGGCAGAGCGAGGAGGCCCCTTCCCAGCCAGGGGTGGGGGAGGAGGGCGGGGCTGGCCACATGGAGCAGAAAGCCAACACCACACAGCAGTCCCACCCCATGCTCCATTCATCCCCGCCACGGGCTCTACACAACTGGGGCACACACACTGGACACCCACTAAGACTTGTGACAAACTGGGGACAGACCAGGTGAGGAGGGCCATTTGTGCCTGCCTCAGGCCCTTCTGATTTAGGCATGGGTTAGATCCAAGAACTACTGGCAGGAGGCAGTGCTCCCCTTTCGGGAGCCTCTTAATTTTGAAGGAGGGTTCTCCGGATGGTTCTGGAAGGGTGGGTCACTCCACCTACCACACTGCTACTGCACTTGTTTCCTTATTAAAGGGCTCAATCAAGTGCAACAGAAGAGAATGGACACCCTGTCCTCATACACACTCAGCCCTCCTTCCCCTGGTCCATGAGATCACCATCATCTGGTGAGCTAGGACAGGGGGTACTCCCCAGTGTCACCAGTCAGACTCGCAGGTGCACACGATACAGGCGAAGTCTGCAGCAGTCACGTGTTCATGGCGCGGCTGTGAAGCCCCGCCCCCCTTCCCTTCACAGAACTATCGTGGGTACCAGGGCACCTGTTATGAACTCCATTTTGCAGCTGGAAAAATCTGAGGCACGGGGCAGTCGGGTGCCCGGCCGAGGTCACACAGCTAGCGCGTGCCAATGTTCACATTCTCACGTAAATTAACTCCCGGCCCTTCACAGGCTCGTAAGAACCTCTTTTTTTAAAACAACGTTTGGTTCCAAAATGGCCATTCCACATCTCCCTCTCCACCCTCTTTCAGGGGAAGGGGGTGGGGCGGGGGAGGGGAGGCTGCCAAATGTTCTTCATCTTTTAGAACGAAGGTATGCCCGAATTTCTTAAGTGTAGAGAGACCCGTGGATACGGCTTCTAGGCTCCTGAGTGTCAGACTTAACAGAAACAATCACGTCACAGGACACAAAGTTTGCTACTTACATTCACTTCAGTTATAGCAATATCAACGACGCTACCAACAACAATTAAGGCATCAAAAGTGTTCCATGCATCAGTGAAATAGTGCTGTTAGGGCAAGCATTCAGAAGCCACAGAGGAGAGGAAGCACCACAGGAAAAAAGAAGAAAAGGACAGTGTTATAAAAAGGGAACATTCTAGCAGTATGCCACCCGGCTACTTGAAAAAAAGATCACTCTAAAACAAACACGTTACAGGTACGTCACTTTGGGTGCTGCCGCTGACACAGCAAATAAACACGGTGAGAGACGCCTGTCTTGCCCTGCCTACCAGCGGCTCAGGAAACGCCGCCCGAGCCGGCCCTCCGAAAGGTGCTCTGAGTCTGCGAAGGCCTGGGGGAAAGCTCGACCCTCACGAGCCTCTTGTCCAAGCTCTCGTGAGGAAATTCCTGGTTTTAGATCCAGTGAGGTTGGGGCCTGTGACTTGTCCAGGTGATGCCAGTGCGGGGCGGGGAGCGGAATGTGCAGACAGAGAGAGGACACGAGGCGGGCGGCCGCGGCGGGCGCATACTCACGTCGGCTTCGCTGAGGGCCACGTCTATAATGCTGCCGATTACGATGAGGGAGTCAAACGTGTTCCAGGCGTCACTAAAATACCCCTGGACAGAGCAGGCAGGGGGCAGACGTTTATGAGCACGTAGGAATGGAAACGCCACACGGATCATACGGGGACGTGTCGGATGCCCCGCCGTACCCATGGCAACCAGGTGGGGTGGGAGAGCCAAAGGGAGGCAACGGTACCGTCCAGGGGCGGAAAGGGACACAGGCTGGGGTGCACCTGCATGTGTGAGAGAGGGCGCGCACGCACGCACGCACACGCACGCAGGCACAGCGCACGCACGCACGCACGCACGCACGCATGCGCCGTGCAGACCCATGGCCCCGAGCGGCCCCAGACCAAGCGGGGTTTGTGCAGGGCCGAGGGGCCTCCGAAAACCCTGCCCGTGCAACTAGGGCCACAACTTCAAACCGTCACAGGAGGGTGCGCGACCCTTCTAAGTTTGCAACCCTTACACAGAAGAGTCAGCAGGCCCTGCCCCTACCCCTTCCCCAAGTCTTTTCTCTTCTCCCAATTGAAGAGCACTGTGACCAGCCTTTCACACGTTCTTCTTTCTATGCTCTTAAATCAGTAACTCCTCCGGCTCCTCACCAGTGCAAGGATTATGAAAGGTGTGCTCTGTCCTCACAGAGCCCTTGGCCTCACTGGGACAGAGGCACAGTGAGGCACGCAGTCCAGGGCACAGAGTTGCGGGGCGGGGGGGGATTCACTGCAGTCTGTGGGGAAGGGGGTTGTGTAGGGAGCCCACACAGGTCTTACAAGGGAAAAGCGCCGTCAAGGGTGATGATGCACTAAGGCTCCCGTTGGCCTCGAGAGAATCCTCCTTGTACCCCAGCTCTCCTCCCTTCTCTCTCCACCCTCCAGGCTAGGAGGACTCCTTGCCATCCCTCAGAAGCACTAACAGGTTCTTCCCCCTCTCTCAGCTGCAACAGCAATCCCAGCCCTCTCCACACAGACTCTGCCCAAATCCACTTCCTCCTTCAAGGTCAGACCAAATGCCAGCTCCTTGAAGGGATCTTTTCAGATCCTCCTGATCTCTGCTCTGCCTCTCACATGTCCTCATCACTGAATTTGGGGTCTTTGTCTGCAGCTTTAACCCACTGAAAGCCCCCTGAGGATGAGTACCGTGCTGATTCTTCTGTCCCCTCCTCCACTAGCCCCACTATCTACCCCAGAGCCTTGATCCCATTGCTCCACACACTGCAATGTCTCTTTCTTCCACTGACCTAGCATCCTACCATCATCCAGATCCTATCTTGCAACAAGCATGAAGGCACGATGTCCCTGTGACTTATAAATCCGTGTATATCTATGTGGCATACATTTTATGTATGCGCTCTTGAGGGCTCAGCACAGTAGGGGCTAAATTCGTGCCTGCTGTCTCCTGACAGCCTCTGGAAACTCTTGGTCAGAGCGGTGGGGGTGGGCACTACGCATAGAGGCTTCTGGTTGCATGGTCGATGACTCTATCTGAAAATCAACTGTCTTTTCAAAAAGTCAGAACATGTTTTGGAAATTAAAAAAAAAAAAAAATCCAGGTCTGAAATATATAAAAAGGGGCCAAGCATGGTTACAACTGGGTACACTTAGTGAAGATAAAGAAAACCAGAACAGAAGGTACTTTGAAGTTTCAGGTCCCATCAACTTGTGATCACATGCAGGCCCCAAGAAAGCCACTGCAGAGCCCTAGCCTTCGATGACACGATAGAAAGTGTGCACGTGCTGGCCATCCTAATAACTGGAGTGGGCTGTTTGTTCTAGTTACTGTTGATCACGCACTCCAAGTACAATTATGGGGGAGCTATGACACTAATTGATGGCCTGGACTTTTAAAAATTTCATCTTAAATGATGTAAGATTTTCCCACCCAATCTGCCATGACCTCTCACCCACTCTTCACCTCTCCCTTCCCCTCCTCTGTCACACGTTGCCTCACTGACTGGCATCCTCCCAGACCCCTCATCTCAGGCCTCCACAGAGTAAACAAACGGACTCTGCCTGCACCAACCCTGCCGACCTGTGTACACAAGTCTAATAGGACAAGTCTTAATGAACACCACGTTTTGCACCTTCTAGCTTTTCTTCCCAGTGCTCCGTGATTCTTGGCTGGCAGACTGGGGCAAGGCCAGCCACTCTGAGGGCTAGACTAGAGCCACTGAGCATGCTGGTCACGCTGGCCAGCCAGGACACAAAGAGCTTGCGTCTGGACTCAAAGGAGCGCACTGTTTCCTTCACAGAGAAGACCTCCTAACACAAAAGTCACTTGGGTCAAGTGCTAAGCGCTGCTGTGAGTGCCGGGGACCCTTATTTACATTGTGTGAATAGGTAACAAACAGGCATTTGACCAGCAGCTGTGCCACAAGCTACTCTGAGGACCAGAGCCTTCCCTTCCTGGATTTAAGAGCATCTCCAAAGCTAAGGACAGTATGGTGATCATTCCCATCTCCCCCAGAGAGGAGCCGATGCCTCACTGAGACAGCTGGGTGCCCATAACAGTCAGGCCTCTGGGGTATGGAGAGCAGCTGAAGACCCCGAGTTCCTCCTCCTCTCCTGCCCGGGCACAGGACCAGCCCCCGCCCATAGCTGTACCCCATGTGCTACTCCTCCCACTACAGTAGGCTCTTCACCTGAGGCCAAGGCCACCACCTGCACACCTACTTTGGACTTTATTCCTGAACAGCTCCTCCCCTGCTTTTCCAGAATTATCAGTACTTACCTCTGAATCATTCCCATTGGCCTACACACTATCCTCCAACTGGCCCATTCTGGCCACTGTGGTACATGAAATCACCTTAAACCAATGCAATAGGGGCTTCCCATTTGGGGTCCTGGAACATTTTGGCAATCTCATCAACTCTCTTCAGAAGATCCCACACACTCACAAATTGTGCCCAAGTCCTAGAGACTCCTGGACTGAAGGTACCTACACCTAATGCAGACAACGGGAGGCTCGAGCTGATGCAGGTCGCTGGAATCACAAGCTCAGACAAGGTGGCTATGCCAGGGGGCCAGCGGAGGCAGAAATTGCCAGGCTCTCTTTCTCCCCACCTGATTCCCTGTTTAGTAGCCTCCTATGTGATCAAATCACTGTCGAATGAGCAGGACTCAGTCCCCCACCCTTTTCCCACCAACATCACCACAGTGTCTGGGCAACCAAAAGATGAGACAAAGGGCTTCTGGCAGAGGACCCATCCCTGTGCCCTCTTCTCTTGGACAAAAATGACAGGTTCTCCTGACACTGAATGCCCAGGCCAGGGCCCCTCAAGTGGAACCAGCAGTCCCTAGCACTCAGCCAGAATCAACTCTTATTTTTTGTCCAGTCCTACTGGCTTGGAAAGACCAAGCAAGTCAGCCACATGTGATAATCTCTATTATTCAGAAACATGTCTGACTCAGAAATTTTAAATCATAAAGCAGACTCATGTGGGCATTAGGGCCAGGAACTTTCAAGACTTCCAAGAACTCTGAGAGTCTGTCAGTGTCCACGTCGCTCCTGACTGTGGGATCCTGGGAGCAGAGCTGGAACTCCAGCCGGGATATAGCACACAGGTGTGGTACATGTGTGTGTGTGTGTGTGTGGAAGGGGTAACGTGTTGGGGGGGTAACGTGTGTGGAACAGAAACAAGAGAAGCAACCCGAGTCTGGGTTCTTTTTGCTGCCTGGAGTCCCTCTCATCTGCAGATCTGAAGGAGCCCACACAAATCACCTGCTTTTGGGGTTTACCATGGCAGCCAGGTCACTCAGCAATTTCTGCCGGGGACTATTTGGGCAGTGCTGGACCCAAGAGATGACCCACAGTACCAGATTTCTGTAGACACCATAACTGACAGCTTTCTAACTAGCACAAGCCTGTCCAGAGGTCAAGTGGGGGCTTACCGGAAAGCATTCACCTTTGGCCACTCTACTCCGATCAAATATCCTGTGACAGAAAGTACCCTGCATACCATCTCATGTCAAGAGGCTGCACCTACAGGCTCATCTGTTTATGCCTTTCTTCATTCCACCCATCCTTAATGAGTGGCCAGCACAGAGCAGGCATTGTGTGGGATGCAGGAGACCCAGCCTGTGACCTCGAGCAGCCTCTCAGCAGTTAACGGAGAGATCCAAAGAAGTATTGATCATGACATCGCCCAGTAAGCATCTAGTGGACACGCAGGTGAAGGGAAGAACAGACTTTGGCCGAGCTGGTAGGGAGGATGTCACAGAGAAACCCACATTTCAGACGGGCCTCAGGCAATAACAAGGCAAAAGGGTTTTCATATACAGAAGCCCATGCCATGGAAAGGCCTGGCTTGTTAACAGCTAGGGATGGGGACTGTAGAAGGAATGACAGGGGAAGCAAGGTGGAAGTGCAAATGGGCCAAGGTTTGGTGGAGGACTTTGAACATGAAACTAAGAAAATTCTAAGGTGTGGGGTTTTTTTTGTTTTTTTGCTCAGGCAACAGGTGGCTGGTACCGGAGTTTTGCTGTGGAAGATGAGCAGAGAGGGGCTGGGCGGGGTTGTGGGACGGGGGAAATTTAGCAGTCCAGGGAAAGGAGGGGCAGGAGGTCTGGATGACATGGATGGCCGGAGAAGCTCTGGGCCTGTAAGGCATTTACCACGGGAGAAGGGGACCAGGAGAGCACCCTGAGAAGCTGTGACATCAAAGACACAGGCTGAGCCCACGAGGTCTGGTGCAACGTTCTAGCTAAGGAGAAGAATGTTTGGTCTCAAGTATTATTTGGCATTAAAACAGATCACCTAAAAGAGATGCGGTCACTGACAAACTGTAAAGACTATCAAATGTTCTTCCTAGGAGATGGAGGGTGTCTTCCAAAGAGATCGTTAACACTTTGTTAAGAGCCTGCATTCCTGCCAGGGGCCCTGGGACAGGGAATGCCGTCCCAGGAGGCTGGTGGCACCAATGCTGGTGTCCACGGTGCGGCGGCTCTGCACCGGTTTAGGAGAACAGCACCACAATACTCTCCTCTTCCCCCAAACCCAACTAGCCTTTACTTCCCCCAAGCCCAAGTGGCCAGGAGTACAAATTCGTCACTTTCGAGGTAGAACCAAGATCAAAATGCAGACCTGGGAACCAAGTGTGGCTCTTCGGGGAAAAGCCCGCGGCCGAGGCAGCTAAGCTGGCCTCGGGTACTTGCTGGACAAAGGCAGGCGACATCTGGAAGCACAAAGAGGGAGCCCCAGCAAATTGGAACTGCTCTTTATTCCTGCAGGAGCCAGTACTTTGGGGAAGGCCCTTCTTCTTCAGTTTCCTCCTTGGAGCAAGAGAATTCATTAGACAGGTCCCATGGCTTCCCCTGGGAGTACCAGAGGGAAAGGCCAGGGAAGTGGGCTTATCTTACTTCAGTTAGGACCTCCCTTTTAAAAGCCTAGGATGGCACAGTCACCTCCAAGTTAAAGCACAATCTAGAGTATGCAAGGTCAATGCCAGATGGTGGGTTTTCCCTTGGGGAGTAGATGTAATAAACTCAACCGCCTCCTTGCTTTCCCCTAATCCTGCTCTTCGGCTTCTTGCCACCTTGCACTCTTGCCTAGAACCAATGCTCAGAACAGCTCTTCCCATTCAGTGAGCCTCATTCCCCGGCCAGGGCAGCTCCCCAGCTCTGGGTTTCCTACCTCTGCCTCTCTACCTCAACCCCTCCCCTCCCTGCTTATGGAGGCGGGATGACCTGACCTGCTGAGTTCTCAAACCACTTCTCCCTAAATGTGTGCTCTTGGCAGGCCCCACCTCTCTGGCAGGTTCTTGAATACAGAAGTCCCCACGGTCAGGTTTCCCAACTTCTTTTAACCCATCCTCCTCACGGTGCCTTCTCATCCATCAGGAAGGATTTTGTCCAACTTCACTTTCTGTATCTGAATCTCAGCACAGCTGCAACCCCATCTCTCCTGACAGATGCTGGCAAGTTTTCCTAGAAGGTGTGCCCCTCACTGTGGAGAACACTGCCCCAAGGGGCCCTGTAACCAACTCCTCACAGAGACGAAGGCTTTCCTGAGAGGAGACCCATGGGCTAGGGTTCCCATGCGGCCCTCTGTCCCATGCAGCCATCTCCTGGAAGACTCTCCCTTCAGCAGCCTCTATGACCTTGCTCCTCAGCCTGAATTCCTCTCTGATGAGAGAGGAGGGGTCTCACTGCTTCTTAGTCAAAGCCTACTCCCATGGGCTTGCTTTGTCAACCCAGAAGAGAAAAACAAGGAAAAGTCAGGGAGCATTTAAAGAAAGGCTTTCTTTCTTTTTTTTTTAAATTTTATTTTATTATGTCATGTTAGTCGCCATTCATTACATAGTTAGTTTTTGATGTAGTGATCCATGATTCGTTGTTTGCGTATAACACCCAGTGCTCCATGCAATACGTGAAGGGCTTTATTTCTTGGTGAAATGATTCTCTCCCCATCCTCAACACAAAATCTGTCTATCCTGGCTTCGGTGAGTGCAGAAATAGCACTCCTCAAGCACAGAGATGCTCCTATTGCTGTTTCATGCTACGGAAATATCTTGCTGGGCAAAACAACAAAGCAGCACCACTTCTAGCGGAAATCACTCATTTTAAAACTCTGATTAATCAGTACTGATTAAAAATTAGCTACTCATTTCCCTCCTGATATCACCAGTCTGATCACATACCACCAAAACCCTCCTCCCGGGTTTGGTATCAGTGGTTTACTAGGCAGAGGAGTGTACGAGCCCTTTGGTGCACGAGCCCGCTAGTGGGTGCACATTCACACACGGACACACACGCACTCTCACGCACACATGCCATGGGCGAGTGTGTCTTCTCTTCAGCCCAGAGCAAGCTCTGAACATTTCAGAGCTTAATCACCAGGCAAGGGAAGACAAGACAAGGGGATCTAGAAACGTTCCGTGGGTAGGTTCCGTGTTGTCTCTCTCAAGTCCTTTTGATGTTCTTACTTGGCAACCTTTTTCATCAACCCAGACAACTACTGTTCAGAGAAGTAAAGGTGACAGGGAAGCAAACCAAAACTCTCAAAGGAAATCAAGATGAATTTGAAAAAGGAGGAGATGTTTATGTATGTAGATATGGACAAGTCACAGTACATAACATCTGGCCATGCATAAGGTGCCAAATTTGACCCCGCTGCAATCACCCCAAGTGATCACTTACAAGTGTCCTTTCTTTTTGGTCCACAAAGATCTGATAAAGATTGCATTAAAATTAATTCAAATTAAAGAAAGGAACAGTTTGGGATTAGAATTCCAAGGAAATATGGAGTATGTGAAACCATCATATCATAATCCAAGTCTCAGTAAAACCAGCGTTTTAGGCATAAGGTGTCTTACACCCAGCCGAACCAACAACCGGGTCCCCAGATTCTGTCACTGCCTCATACTGAGAGTTTGGGGGCTTTGCTAGCAAATAAGCCGAGGGTCCAACGTCCCCCAGCTCAGCCTGGATTTGCTCCTCCGTCTACAGTTTTAGAACAAGGGGGCCATCGTGACTTGACGATGATGGTGGTGGCCGTCACGGTCAGAGTACTGACTCATGACAGCATGTTACTACATGCCAGGCACTCTTCTAAGCATGGCACAGATAGTGAATCTTCACCCCTCCCAACCACCTTGTGAAACAGGGCTGGTAGTGTCTTCATTCTGCGGGCGAGGAAAACGCAGCACAGAGCTGTTAAGGAACTCACTCGCGTCAGCAAGTGGGGAGTATGGATTTGGATCCAGAGTTCGTGTGCTCTTAGACACTGTTCTGTCAGCCTCTTCCACCCCAGACACTGACAACGCTGGGGCTGGATCCGCTCCCTCCCAAAGGCGACACGATATGCTGACTAGTCCAACAGCGTTTAACAGCTTTCATGTCTTGTTTTGTCTTAAAGTCAAGCGACATTTTTCTAAGTCAAATAAATGGTAAGCACTCTCCAAATGGTAGAACTTTCCATAAAAGGTGAAAAAGAGGCTGTAGACCAAGGACAAATAAAACCAAGGTCTTTCTCCTGGAAACCTAAGAGTCAAATCAAGGCTGAATTCTTTCTGATGGGTTCTGTTCCAACAGTTTGTCTAACGCCCGAGCAACGAGGCCACTTTCCCTGAGACAGCGTGAGAGGCTCTTCTAGACACAGAAAATCTGGTTTCAAAACCATCTCTATTTTACAGATTCCCGATTCTGTCCCCCCTTCTTCTTTTTCTCAGAATTCTTTTCATGAGGTTTTGTTTTGTAGTTTTGCTTTCCCATATGTACCCAGATGTCCTAATCAGATTTGAACGTTCTCAGGTGATAACCCAGTTATCAGACCCAACAATTTGGCGTCACTCGGTAACACAAGACAAACAGGAAGGGTGTGCTCCTCTGGAGTGATTCAGCAACAGCCTTTGAGAAGTGGGCTCAGAGACTCACCTTAGGTTTAAACGCGATGACTTTCAAAACCATCTCGACGGTGAACACCCCAGTGAAGACCATGTTCAGAATGTCCATGGCATCATTAAACATCTTGGACTGCTCATAGTGCTGTGGACAAAGGCAGAGGCATGGCTCTCAGGGGCCCGGCCCAGCCAGCCTCACGAAAGGAGGCTCCCCAGCCCCCTGCTGCCTGCAGGCATCCACCCTCTGCTTGGAAATGGAGGCAGCCTCCACTGGTGTCAACGGCACATGTTTAACTCACCACAAAGCACAGGGGGGCCTTGACGAATGAGGATGATTGGAAGATGAAGGGGAAGACATCCATTTCCTCTGCTCAGGATGAAGGGAACCCACCCTTCCTCCCAGCAGGATTTCTATTCAGGGCCTTGACCCAGGCACAAGGCAGAACCCACCCAAATGTCTATGACTAAAGACCGGATTTGGTTGGGGATAAATTTGATGCCATTTAGGTCCACTTTCAATAAAAGGCAATAACATCTTGACCTCACACTTTTTCCCTACATCAGCATGGGGTCCTGCTCATTCATAAAGACTTCTTAAATTTAAAAAACATGCCAGAGAATGTATCCCTGGTGGCTTTTAGACCCATTTTCCAGACAGCACTGGGAGTTGGTTTGATTTGCTTAAGTTCTTAAAGTCAGTGTGGAAAGCGGATCTAGACCTTGGCCTTTGCTTCGGTCCTAGGGCAGGATCTACTTCACAGTATAACTGCTGGAAATGCTCGCTGTTAATACCAACTTGGCCAACTGAAGGAAGTCAATGCCTTGCCCCCAGGGTGTCAAGAAGTAGCTCTTTTGCAGGCTAAACTCTCCTCCATGACCTGGAAGATTCTCCACCACCATCCTAACCATTCTAAGAGCTCCTTAAAGACAGGAATGTGACTTATGTTTTGTTTTTCAACATTGGGTGTTTACTCTGTGATGGGCCCAGCGCCTAGGGCCTGATGTGAATTATCCAGTGCAAACCTTACCTCTGACATAGGTATGACAGATTTCCCATTTTGCCAGTGAAGAAAGCAAGGATCAGGGGATTTAAATTGCCTTGCCCAGCTGGTAAGGAGTAAAGGCAGGACTGCAATGCCCGTCTGCCCCACTCCACACAGATCAAGCTTTAGTCCTTAACTGCTCCCTGGCCTCAGGTGCCCCCAGTTAAGTGTTTGTAGAACTGAATGCTAGGCTCAGGCTCCATGGAAATGTTACCTATGGTCACACTGTAAAGGCAGTCCCTTAAAACAAAAGAGCCACCTTAAACGCCTACCGTGAGAACTGTTAGCCAGAACGGGACTCTGGCCAAACTACAGCCCAGACTCATCAGAAAATCACTCATTCTCTTGTGAGGGGGCGGCACTCCGCCCTCAGAATTTGGGGCAGGGGGCTGTGCAGAAGGCCCAGACGTGATCCCCACGGCTGTCTCCATTTTTACCTGCATGGCCAAGCAGAGTGTGTTGAGCATGATGAGGACAAACATCATGTATTCGAAAGGCGAGGAGTTCACCACGTACCAGAACTTGTACTGGTAGGGGTTTTTGGGGATGTATCTCCGCAAGGGACGTGCTTTCAAGGCGTATTCAACACACTGACGCTGCAACGGCAGAAAAGAGCAAGGAGGGGTCCTGAGCACACCCATGGGAGGAGGACACCGGTCTCGTCTGCTCTGAAGGGGCACACCCACCGCGAGAGACCGTGGATCAGGGGAAGCCGCTACAGCAACCCCCATGGGCACCACACGGCATCACCAGCCACAGGCCCCTAGCTCCGCCAGCTCATCGGATCCTCACACCAACCCGGGGGCGGGGGGGGCGGTAAGCGGAGCACCCAGCGTGCTTCCATTTTCCTTATTAAAACAGAGGTCCAGACTGGCGAGTGCCTTGCCCGAGGACCTGCCTTTCCTCTACGCCGGGGCGTTACGCCTGCAGTTCTGCCTGGGGCCACCTCGAGGAAAGGAAGCCAGGGAATGAGAGACACAGAAAGGCTCCAGAGCCCAAGGGCCTGGTTTCACTCCCTGAGACTCGATCCACACGAGACACCTCTTGGGAGCCAGATGGTATTAACCACACGTGTCTAATGGTGAACTAGCTGTGTGTCTCCCCGGGACCTTCTGAGACTCAGGAGCTTGTGGTAGTCACGATGGCCAGAGCACTGTCCTTCCCACTCTGGGGCTGAGGCTGGTCCACCCTTTGCAGGCCAGCGGAAGCTTCCAGCCCCTTCGGCTCAGCCAACGGCACCACTTGCTCCTGGACCCAGACTGACTCCCAGTCTCCTGCTTTGACCCTAGCTTCTGACTTCAGACAGGCTCCCTCTGATCAAAATCTGGCCCTGCTGTGACCTCACACACTGAGTCCAGGGACTCCCCCCCCCCACCCAACACACACCAATTCGAACCTGTTCTGGACCTCAGGAGATGACACAACGGTAGCTCAGGCTCTGCTCCCTGGCCAGCCTGGGCCTTGCCCTGACAGTCTTCTTCCGGGGGCTGGGAGGTGGGGGCAGTGGGGGCGACGAAGAGCTGCGCCAGGCTTCCCGCTGACACTGATGGGATCTGAAGGGGTGCCCTGACAACTCAAAGCAACATCTTCCTACAAGCCCAGCTGGTCCTGCCCTCACCGCCCCGGTGGGCACAGCTGCAGCCCAAGACAGACCGCCTCACCACAGCCACTTCCCCTCCGGAAGCCCAGACTGGCAGATGATCCCCACTCCTTATGTCATCATCAAACAGGGGTGCTACCGAGCCAGGGCCCAGGGGTACTCCCAGAACAGATTCTCCATCTCGCCATCTGTTAGGACAGGAAGGGGCCTCTAACAACAACTCCTGGGTGCCCTCAATCTAGAGAGAAGGGAGCAAGCCCAGAGAGGAGCAGTGCTCCTGACCCCCTCACATCCTCGTGCAATCAGAGTCAAAGGCCCCTGCTGCTCCCAGATTGGTTCGAACAAGGCAGTGGATTATGAGGGAGTGACACCAGTGCAATCTTGGACCCAGGTTTAACATTAGTAACTTTCCCTGCAGTAGGATAGGTTACTTCTTCCTAAGTCAATGGTTTTTCAAGCGGGGGACATGAGGCAATGTCCAGAGAGGTCTTTTGGTTGTCAAAACCCAGGGCAGTGCGTTGCTACTGGAATCGAGGGGGTATAGGGCAAGGGATTCTACTGAACATCCTACAAAAGCACAACAAAGAATTATCTAGCCTAAAACGTCAATAGTGCTGAGGTTGAGGAGATCATCAGACACAATCCCCCGTAAGGACTGTGGGAGGGGCAGCGGGTACTTTCTGGCCCCTGGCCACATCCCCCTGCCAAGATTCTGAGCCATCACTAGCCGGTCACACCCACAGAAGGTACCCTAAATGTTCTTTGACTTCTCATCTGCAGGGTGGGGTGGATCACAATGACAAGGTCTAGTCTGTATCTGGGAAGCTCACTCTTCCCAGCAAGGACTCAAACTGGCCGAAAGGGTGCTGTGAACAGGGCCTGAGCCCCAGGACAGCTAGCAGGTGCACGCCCTTCTCTGGGCGTAGAGGAAGCTGGCAAAAGACAAGCCACTCCTCTCTTGCTCAAGGGACAGAAGCCCAAACAGTGTGTGACTTTAACCTGATTTTTGTCCAGCTCACAGTTCTTATACTCTTTCTCTCCCTGCTCCTGAAATGTGACGATGACGAAGCCCACAAAGATGTTCATCATGAAGAAAGCCACGATGATGATGTAGATGATGAAGAAGATGGAGATCTCCACGCGGTGGTTGTAGATGGGGCCCACATTCTCTCCATTTGAGTCGATGGCTTTATACAGCAACCTGGAGAACAGAAGAATCAGGTGAGTCCTGTCCCCCACTCAGCCCAAGCAGCCCAACCTCTTCTGAGGTGGTGCCTCTTCTGACCGCCTCCGTGGGCCCTGCCTGTCAGAGCCCTCCCCGGGAGCCCACCCACGGCCCCTGGATGCACACAGGTCTCTGAGGCGCCCTCCTTGGCTGGCATTAGGCCCAGTTGGTCCAGCACCCTGAAAAGGGAACACCTGAGATGCATTTGGGGATTGATATTTTGAGAGCTGAAAAACAAAAGATTTCACGGCTATTTAACAATGCTCCTTTCTCCTGGCGGGAGAGAGGAAGGACACCACGTGTAAGACATTCGTGGAACTGAAAACTGTACATATGCCAACAAAGAGAATAAGCAAGCAACCCGGGATTTCCAAAGAACTAAGAGAGGTTCCCCAAACTGAAATATACACAGAAATTAAATATGCACCAAGCAGAACTCTCAAAAGGAGGCGGGGGGGGGGAATTACTGTAACATCCCCAAGTTAAATTTATCCCCACATTGATGTAGATTCAGCACTGCCAAGGCACCCACCCCACGGTGCACTGTGCTAGCCACTTTCCCATCCATTTAGAAAAGCAGACATTACAGTCATCCCCATCACATGGAAGCTCAGAGAGGGATCTAAGTGACCAAAGTCACACTCCTTGGGGGCAGAGCCAGGAGACGAGCCCAGTTGCTCCGAGCGCCAAGGCCCAAGTCCAGTGATTTCCCCTCGGCTGCCACCCTGGTTAACTAAAGCACACTGCTGAAAACCCAAGACTGCAGCCAGTTCCTCCCCCAGAGTGAAGGGGCTCGTTCCTGCCTCTCTGCTCCCCAGACCAATTCCCTAATGAACAAGCCCCACCCAACTATCCTCACACTGCACAGGATCTCCTGTCAGTAACTCCGACTCTCCTGTGCATCCAGAGAGTTCTGCCAGTCCCCGGAGAACCAGCCTGTCCACCTTTTGCAGTTGCTCTGGGCGTGGCAACTTGACATTGGAAGCCGTGCACGCATGCACGTTCAGGTGGCGGGAGCCGGCGTGGGCATCCGAGCACAGAGTAACAAAGGAGCAAGAGACGTTCCTTTTGTAGTCTACCTTTTCCCTTCTTCCTGGATTTTTTTTTTTTTTAAACTTTACTCATCAGAATCCTAGCCATTCTTCAGAACCCTACTCTGCACATCTCTGATGCAACAGACCCTCCTGCCTGGTCTAACTGCCTGAGACTCTGACTCGGTTTGGGCCTCAAAGGGAGGAACATGTCAAGATAAGCATTTCTTCCACAGTGCTTAACACAGCACAGTGCATCAGGCAGGTACCAAAAGCACCTCTTATGAATGAGTGAGTGAGTGGGTCAAAGACATGGCACGGTGGCAGGCATCCATGTCTGGTACACGTTTGAAAAAGGAATGAAGATGGAATGAATGAATGGATGGATGGATGGATGGATGGATGGATGGATGGATGGCTGGCTGGCTGTCTGGCTTGGGACACTCTCAAGATGTTCTCTGTACTTACGCAGGCCAGCCCTCAAACGTGGAGACCGTGAACAGCGCCATCATAGCAGAAAGGACGTTGTCGAAGTTGAAATCACTATTTTGCCAGATCCTCTCACGGACCACAGGGTTATCAACATCCCCATCCTTGTAGAGGATGAAAAGCCCCCTAGAGAGGAAAGGAAGTGTGGGTCGTCCTGGCTTGACATGCACTCGGTCACAGCTGCCCCAAGCCCACGTCCAGGCCCTACAGCTGAGCACCATGTGAGTTTGTCCTCCTCTTGCCGTGCATTTAATCTACTCTAAGGTCCCAATAATCAAGTACCTACTAGTTTAATGAGCATCCTCCAGAACAACTAGGCAGCCAGCCAGCATACACCTGATAAGAAATGAAACCTACCAAATGATCAACACCTCTCATATATAAGGGGCTCAGAGTGTACACTGAAGGATCAGAAGCTCTGGCCTGGGGAATTCTGGAAGCTCTGGGAAACAAGCCCAGGTATCCTCTTAACTGCATTTTGGTTGTCCTCAAGATCCTTCGTTCTGTACTAACAATATTCCCAGTTTTCTTTCTAAAATAATTCTGTAATTTCTGGTACACAGAATTTGTCATTGAATTTCATTTCTGGAAAGGGGCCGATGTCTTTATGTCACAGGGAAGCAGAGGCTTAGTGAGAGAAGAGAAGGGGTCTTCCGCCTGCTGCCATGCCGCTCAACAGCAGGGGGCGCACCCCGCTCCCCCCAACCTGCACGGATGGAGGCCCTGGAGGTGCACAACCAGTCACCGCACAGCCAGCATGCTCTGACTGCACCTTCTGGTGGAGAGAAAACCCAAATACACGCAAGCAGTGCAAGCATCCCGACCTCAGTGGTGCCATCCCCAAAGGATGGGGAAACACGGACTACCACACGGTCTTCCAACTCTGGGCAGTGGTTTTGTGCCTGCCTTCATGTTCTGGACAGCTTGGGATAAGAGACACAGGTGTTTCCCACCTTGTCTCTCCCCTGTCTGTTCTTGTGAAGAAAAATATGCCCAAAATGTGGCTGCCAGGAGCAGGGGGAGAAAGGTAGCCTGGAGAACCTGTCGGAAGGGGCTAGCCAGCTCCTGAATGCCAGGGAGTTGAGCTTCAGAGTTCTGGTGTGGGGAAGAATTATCCACGTGGCTGGAGGGAAGGGCTCTCTGGGGCAGTTCATAATTGTTATTCTAGGTTTTAGTGCACTCCCTCTCCCCATTTAGAACTCTATGGCAAACATCAAAAGCCATCTATCCATTCTTTTGGGGGCGACGAAGGTTTGGAACTAGACCACGGCCATGCTTGTACCACAATGTGATTGTACTAAATGCCACTGAATTGCACAGTTTAAAATGATTACTATTATGATATGTGAATGTCACTTCAAATAAAACCACCATCATCTCCCTCTATCTCTCCAGCCATGAGCTGAGCACACAAGCTTCTTGCAGTCCATGATGAAAACTTCTAAAATGTTAGCACAAACAGATCCTTGAAATTTTTCTATCTGTTCTTCCTCATTCCCCACTCTCGCGTTCAGGACACTCACCTGCACTCTTCGGGGTTACTTTTGGCTTCATCTGTACAACGATAGAACTTTCCCTACATATAAAACAGACAGGCAGTCAAATGCAGGCTCCCTGCAAAGCGATCGGCTGGGCTTCATGCCAGAAGGCACGTTCCCCGTACCTTGAACAACTGGACCCCGATGCAGGCGAACATGAACTGGAGAAGGGTGGTGACAATCATGATGTTGCCAATGGTCCGGATGGCCACGAAGACACACTGGACCACGTGCTGGGGAGAGAGGAGCCAGGGGAAGGCAGAGGAGGTTTACCTGCCTCTGTGGTTTCAGCCTCTGGATGACCTAACACCGGCCAAGATTTTCTCATGTTTATGTGCATTTTTATATGATTTTCCAAATTTGCATTCCCTTGCACTTGTTTTTCAGGTAGTTATCTATGGGGAGCTACCCCTGGTGCATCATGGTCACCCGGGAGAAGCACCCCTGTGGACCAGCCCCTCCCTGGTCTCTTCATAAGTGGCTTAGTCCAAAGAAACGCTAGGGGGTGCAGCACTGCCTGGCCCACATGGACCCTGGCCCCCCATAAACGGACTCAGGAAAATGCAAAACCTCAGACCTTTTATATGACCTGTATGAGAAGAGATTTAAAGACCAAAATAAACCCAAGGAAATATTATTAATAATTTTTAGAAGTGATAAACAGTAATCACGTTAAGAAAAATAAATTAACAAAGATAAAGAAAATCATTTGTAAAATGCTTTCAGCACTTGCCAGAGGCAGTGTTGCTGGTTAGAAATGTCCTTTCCAAACATATAACAATGTAAAACCCATCAAGCCTCAGCCCAGCTCTGGCCCCCAACCAAAGTAGCCTGGACCAGAGGGCAGAATCCCAAACCTTAAGTCCTTTCGCTCTGTTGATCGCCCTGAGCGGCCGCAGGACCCTTAAGACCCTCAGAATCTTCACAACGGAGATGGCACTGGATCTAAGGAAAGAGCACAGAACGAAGGCAGAGTGTATTACAGTCAAATAAAATACTCTGAAATTATTTCAGGCGGTCTTCACTGCAGGACCACTGCCTGTGTGGAGCTGAGCTCACCTCCTGCTGTGAGAGAGAGAGAGAGAGAGACACACACACACACACACACACACACACGTCGGGTCTTTCCCCGTTCTATGCACACTCCAGAGCCCTTCCTGGGCCAGGCCCACGGGCACTCACAGAGGCCCTGACTTGGGTACCCAGTTAATGCAGCAGAGGCATGAGTTAGGAATTCGCTTTGTTCTTTTCACTTGATGTAAACGCTAGGTAATACTTGGCTTTTAGGCTGCGATTTTGTTTGGGGTGGGGTTTGCTTTCTAAGCGGGGAGACCTGCTCTGAGTGGGGCTTCTCCAGCCTCGGAGGAGTTTGCTGTTGGGTGGGAGAGATGCAATCACCACCTGTGTGGGGGAATGGACAATGGAGGGGGTGCAGGACGACAGGCTGCCAGGAGAGCACATCCCAGGGGAGCCTGGGAGGTGGCAGCCTAGTGAGTCCCGGGGGGAGGGGCAGGTTAGCTAGCCTAAGGGGGAAGGGGTTCCGGGCAGAGGGAGCAGCACTAGGAAGGAGAATGCAGCTTACCGGCCCCACAGGTGGGCCAGCACACAGGCAAGGGCTGCAGGGGGAGAGGGCCAGCGCAGCCGGGAATTTATGGAAGCTGCAAAGATGCTCTGAGAATGTCCCCTCCAGCTGTAACTCCTGGCTCCCTCTCTCCGGGCAGTGGTGGCAGATAAGGACTAACACAGAGGGCTGTCTCAGGCAGGGGTCCTTGGTCTTCTGAGGGGGAGGCAGCCTGTCCATGGAACTTGAGCTCAGAGGTCGTAGGTGAGCACGTGTTCTCACATGGGGTACTGATGGCCAGCACCTGAGCGCACGTGCTTGTAAGTCAGCTGGGAAGCAAGGCCACTGCGGGATGCTCCCACTGGAGCCTCTGCCCCGGGCCCCCGGGTAGAGCCAGCAGGCACCGTGTCGCTGGGGCATCCCTAGGGCCCTAACTTATGGCCTCCACCGCCTCCTAGCTGAAAATTGTAGAAGCCGGGAGGAAGCGGTCATGGCAGCTGAGATATCCTGGAGATCGAGGGAAGTAGCCTTCAATAGCCAAGCTGAAAGGGTCCTCGGAGCCCAACCCCCGCCACCAACCCTGAATGAGGATTGAGATCCTGGACGAATCCGAACTAGAACCTGGCTTCCTTCTCTCCCAGTCAAGACTTCTCTGTTGAGAGTCAGTATCACAGAGAGTAATAAGCCCAATCTGGCAGGAGGCATGGAGAGGAGAAACAGGAGAAAGTGTGAACTGTCCCAATGCTTTCCAGCGCGTTGGTGGTATAGTGGTGAGCATAGCTGCCTTCCAATGCTTTCCAGCATGTGCACAAATCAAGGTTTCCCAGATAATTAAATGTAATTGTCAAAATGATGCCTAGCCTTTATGAATTATGTTAAAATTCCTCACATTAACCATCCTGCCCAACAGTCTTGTGACCACACGCCCACACCCACCCCAGAATACTTACTGGATCCCAAATGATACCAGGGACACCCCGACAACCAGCATATCCAGCAGATTGAAGTAGTTCCTGCAGAAAGCCCCTTTGTGGAGGAAAGCTCCAAAAGTCGCCATCTATAAACAGAATCATGAGTGATTTACAGATATTTTTTTCTCTCAGAAGAAAAGAAACCTGGGCTCTGTACAAAACCTTGAGGAAAGTATGACTTTACTAACAAGCATGCATTAGGAAGCCAGAAATGTATACCAACAGGGCTGAGCCGAATATTCGTTCAAAAATGGAAAAGGGGCAGCTGATTTCAGATACATTTTAGAAGAAGAGACCAGTCTAGACTCCGTACCAGCAATGACAAACTGCGTGTAGGAATCCAGCATGGGCAGGTCCAAAGAGCCTGTCCCAGAAGGGTCCACATGGGCCCACTCATCAGGATATCATCACTGCCCAGATAACTCGGCTGCCCACAACACGCTGGCTCTGGTCCCCAGGAGCCCAGGAGAGCCTCTGTCTCCCCAGTGGGCCTTCCCAGTGGGATTAGTGAAAGCACTGGAGCCCAGTGCTCCCAGGCTCTGTTCAGAGAGACCAGGTAGCACCCTGTCTGCTGCCGATGGTCCTCAGAGAGACACCCAGTTTAAACGGTGCCTCCAGGTCCAGTGAATCCAGCCTGTGCAAGGGGTGGCCAGGAAGCCAGCACAGGCCTCTCCCCTGGGCAGTCTCCCTGCCCTGGAGTCCCATGCCACATGCACCCAGAGCCCGCACCATGGGTGCTCCAAAGAGGTGCCTACCGGCAATGCAAAAGGACTTTAGTGAGGAAATTCCCAGAGTAAAAACAGTGAAGTATATCAAGTTCACTGTGAATTTAAAAAAAAAAAAGTGCAGAAGGCTCAGGTGAGTCCAGGACAGAGGGCCGGAGTCGGGAAACTGTTACACCGAACCATATGAAATCGCCAACACACTGCCGTTCTTGACCAAAAAAAAAAAAAAAAAAAAGGCAATTCCGTACAATTCAACCGAATCATCATAGAGCCTCCCCAGCCTTCCCACGGCCAGCAGGAACCGCTGCTTCTGATGCTAGATGCTTCTTGGCGAGTCTGTGTTTGCTGAATCCTTCTGGTTTTAAGCTTGTTTTCCACCCTCTAACACGTTCTTTAGAATGAAGAATAACTTGGAAGATTTAAGTCACTGAGGTAAATATCCAGAAATTTAAAAGCAGTAGTTGTTTTTAATTTCTTCTAAATAATTCTGTATCTCATTTGCCCCAAAGTCCAAGAATAACTACATTCATTTAACCACTAAAAAATGTGGGAAGTAAAATAAAACCTCGATGAACCAGGTTAACAGACTAAGTGGAGCGTGTCCCCCATTCAGTTTGAGGAGAAGGCAAATTACAAAAAAAGGGCAGCTCGGGATCAAGTAGAGGTCGGGTGAGTGTCCTTGACCCCCAAGCCCTGTGCGTTATGTGTCTGTGCTCCTCACCGTGGTGACGTTGCTAGAATCACTAACCTGGCAGGGTTCTCACTGAGAACTGTCAGCCAGTTGATGGTTTAAAGGCGGGAAAGTGAATGTGAATTTTTAGATTTTTAACAAAGTTTTAAGTGGAGGTTGGTTGGTTTTGCACTGATGTTTTCACTAAACAACAACAAAAAAAGAAAGTAACTCTAAGTACCCCATTCCCTGGCAAAGTTCAGCGAGGTTTTATTTTATAAAAGATTTTGCAAAGAGCCCAAGTTCCACAGGAGTCTAACATAAAATACATTTTTTCCCCCTGAGATGCACACATAAAAACTCAAAATGGTTGGTTTAAAGACAATTGTGGTGAAAATCTCACAGCTTGTCTCCCCACGAGGAGACGATTGCTCCGACATTTGTCACGGGTCACGCTATCCCGGTACGGCAATGACCCATGACACTTAGCAAGTGGAGGGGGGCGGTGTCCTCAGCTGCCTGCTGCAGGTCTCCAAACTTCTGAGTGCATAGGGAATGAGCTCGCCCCAGGGGCCATCACACTCAGTCCACAAACCACATGCAGCAATGGCAAGTGTGAGCTCATGCATGGGCGGTACATTTAGGGCGCCCCGTCCAAAGGGTGTTCCTTCTGTTTGCATAAATGTAAGCCCATCCATTAAAACAGATATAAAATATCTTAACACAAAAAGACCCGGGTTATCTTGCAAATCCCATTGCAAGAAAATAGTGTGTTACTATTTCAGGCCACTGAAAACAATTCAGTCAAAGAAACGAAAGGAGATACATTCCCTTCATAGGATAAATGCTTCTCCTCTGACTTTGAAGTCAGGAAAGGTGGAAGAAGGTTCACACAGAGTGATGTATCTGTTATCAGATGACAAATTTCAGAGGATATATTTAGGAAGGAGCAAAATAATTTCCAGTCATTATGATGAAGCCAAAGTAGCTCCTACATGCATTGAAAGGTTAAAAAGAAACAGCAAAAACAAGTTGAATGGTTACAGGGAAAAAAAAAAAAAAGGTCCTTTGGTTTAAAAAAAAAAAAAAAAAGTGTAGCTTGATCACAGAAGACAAAAAATAAAAATAGTCAAAAGCACTTCACGCTTCTTGGCCACGTGTCCCCCAGGAGCAGGCCCCTTAGACACACGGCCGTGGAACCTGTTACCTTCAAAACGATCTCAAAGGCAAAAGTGCCAGTGAAGACATAATCTGCATAACCTAGCATCTGGAAGGTAAACAAAGAATTGCAACTATTATTGCTACAGCTGCTTTAGAGTAGGTGAGGATCAATGAAAAAGCCATTACCTTTAACAGGATTTCAACAGTAAAGATGGCTGTGAAAGCATAGTCAAAGTAACCCAGTATCTGCAAGGTACAACATGGTGGACATGAGACACAGGCATCCGGACAAATTCTGACAGCTGCACGCCCACGGGCAGAACCCCCGCATGCAGTCAGACCCCCATCCTCCCGAGACAGGCCCACCGCTCTGGGGGTAGGTGCGCCCCCCCGGCCGGTTACGGTTCAGCTTTGTGACCAACGAAGAGCATCTGGGGACGCTCACCTCCTTCAACCACTCATGCAGACTCTCTTCCCTGTCTGGTGTCACGGACGGACAAAGGCTCATTTCTACAAGTGCTTTATTAACACAACCTTTGCTCATCAGAGCACAACACTGACAAACTGGCGATACCAGATAAACTGGAGTGTTATACACTATCTTGGATTTTTAACTGCCTTTTTGGCTGAATGGGATAGGGCGTCATCTAGCTGGGCTTCGGACTGGTGGGGAAATGTAAATGAAGGTGTGAGTGGCATCCAGTGGGGGCCAGAAGCTTCCACGTGCCCCCTCCAATTCCAGCCCATGTCATCCGAGAGTCACAATGCCCTTCCTTCACTGAGGTGCAGGGCTGGTAAGTCCTCAGGAAAGAGTTTGACTTTACAAGTAAACTTGTACTTTTGCTTTACAAGTAACTTGGAAAGAAAACTCTTGGCCTCTGCTCTTTTCTAACACGGCTCTCTCCCGGCACTGGGTTTGTGTTTGGTTTTTACCCAGCTGGGCCCAAGCAAAGAACAGATTGACCTGGCCTTTGAATTATCAGTCCAGCTTACTTTATCAGATTTCCTGAAAATACCATCTACTCTCCAACCGAGTCCTGCTCAGGGAACCCTTCTGGGCACCCTGCTTCTTCTCAGAGCCATGGGGGTGGGCAGGTGGGTAGGGCAGGGGGGGCGCTAGTGGCAAGAGTCTGACTGCTCGACTGAGGCCACTCACAGGGAACCCTGTGCCACAAAGATGGTAGCCAAGGCTCTGCTACTTGCAGAGGCCATCTCGGCTGCCATCCTCTTGGCTGCTGCTCTTCTTCACAGCCATGCCCTACAGCTTTGAAAGCACTGAAGAGATCAGAGCCAAGGGGACCATGGAGACCCCCCAGACCAACTGCCTTCAGGTAACAGATGAGGATGCCAGGGAAGGGTTGGGCGGAGTGAGGTCTGTGGAATGCTAGTCGAGAACCCCGGGTCCTGTGACTCAAGTCTGGGATGCAGCCCAGGGGAGTCCTTGATTGCTCCACCACAGTAAGGGCAGGGCCCCTGCTGCAAAGGCCAACTGTCTTCAGCTGAAGTTCTCCGGAGGGTATTCATTGCCCCAACCATTTCTGTTTTGAGATTTCTAGATTTTGCTGGACACCTTTTGTATATTTATGTTTCTAGACAGGCAGTGAAAGCACACAGCAAGCCCCTGCCCCTTCCTCCATCCCAGGTCACAGCAGGACCGTTCACGTAGAAAGCACCCACGTAGCCAAGACAGACACTGTCGCCCACACACCAGCAATCCAACTTGGTGCTGGAGGTCGGAGCTCCTAGGTTCAAGCTGTTCTTTCCTTATTCAGCCCTCTTTCACTAATAACTCAGCTAAGCTTATAACAACAACAATGAAAGCACTGCATGAGTCCACTTACATGGGGGCATCTAAAGTAGCCAAACCCTTAGACAGAAAGGAGAACGGAGGCTGCCGGGGGCTGGGGGAGGGAGAAATGGGGAGATGTTCAACGGGGGTAAAGTTTCAGTCAGGCACGATGAGTAACTTCTGGAGACCAGCTCTACAACACACTACCTACCGTTAAGAACGCTAACTCATACACTTAATTTATCAAGAGAGCAGATCTCATGTTAAGCATTCTTTTTTTTTTTTTTAAAGATTTTATTTATTTATTTTAGAGAGAGAATGAGAGACAGAGAGCACGAGAGGGAAGAGGGTCAGAGGGAGAGGCAGACTCCCTGCCGAGCAGGGAGCCCGATGCGGGACTCGATCCCGGGACTCCAGGATCATGACCTGAGCCGAAGGCAGTCGCTTAACCAACTGAGCCACCCAGGCGCCCTCATGTTAAGCATTCTTACCACAATAAACACTATATAGTATTTTGCAAGCAATATATGTACACATATGTACATCTGTTTAAAAAGAACAATAACATTCTTGGAAAAAGGGCAGGGAAATAAGCTCACGGGGAAGTAATTACAATAAAAAATAAGAACACGAGGCCCCCTGTAAGTTAACTCCTTGTCAGTCTGTGTTCTAGACTAGCTCCTGACCTACTCTGTCAATAATGGTATTTTTTTCCAAACAGCTTCTTCCTCTTGTGCTTCATTTCTATGATGGAGCTCAAGGACACCGACATCTCCGTTCCATCTGAACATTGAGATAGAGACAGTCTCAGCGTCTCTAGCACAAGCCCTGATCTGTGAGTGCGGATTTGGACGGGTGCAGGGCCTTCGTCTTTGCATCAACACCAACATGTGCCCTAGGAGGGAAGTTCTTTTAAAATCTGCAAATCAGAGTGCCCATATTTTATCAGTCTGATAGACTGGGGTTGCTGGGCTGCAAACCGACAGCCCTGGAAATGAAAAGATACAGCACAAGGCTTGATGGTCACAACCAAAATCCTGGGACACCGATCTGGGGATCTGTTTTAATCCTCAAATCTCTAAAAATCTGATGACCGCAGAGAGGTACGAACCAGGCAAGGCAGGAATGCCGATGGCCTCGCATACCTGGGGGCCTCCCTCTCCTGGGTTTCCCGATAACCACCTGAAACTGCACTACGGTATCGAGGCCAAAGCAGTCAACAGACTATGGGGCTTCTGAAGCTGTGTCACCTTTGGATTGTTCTCACTCTCTGCATTGTTCTCAGTGCTGAATGAGCTGAACTGTTAAGATGGGACAGCTCAGGCAAGAACTATTTTGGGTACAATTTCTGAGCAGCACAGATGCCGCAGAAGGGTGCTCTCCTCCCTAAAGGACAAAACTGATAACAGAAAACTGCTGACTTGTTTTCTTTGTAAAACCGCCTCCTGGCCCCACCAAAACACAGTTCTTCCTCTCCACTGCACCACGGGGTTCCACACGCCATCGCCCCCCCCAACTTGTGTTTCCCCCCGTGATGAGACCAAGTGGCTCTGTGAATTTCAGCCCGCGTCAGCTAGACATCTTCCTACCAACCCTAAATATGAGCTTCTGGGCACGAGACATACCTGGTTCCATTTCTACTTTCTCTCCTGCTGGATGCGGGCAGCAGTCTCAAGATAGGTGTGGACATGAATTTGACCAGGGAGGGGAACAGAGGGACGAAAATGTTGGCAGCAAGGAACAAAGAGAAGGAGAAGCGGGGCTCCTGAATGCACTATAAGTTACTGCAGAGTATTTGAAAGGAAGTGTCATGGACAGGATTCAAACCAGGTTTGTCCTGCTAAGACAAAACCCCCCTGGCACACACGTCCCGAAATACCAGATGCCTCCAGGTGAACGAGAAGAGGCCGCCTCTAGCCTTTAGCCCTGAGTGATGGCCCCTGCCAGAGAGACCAGTGCTCCTCCCAGCCAAAGACCCGCCCGCCCGTCCCTGCCCCGTGGCTTACAGTGTTCCGGAAGGAGTGGCTGCGGATGGGGTCCTCGGCGGCAAGGGCGGCGCTGCTCAGCATGATGAAGACGAGGATGAGGTTGGTGAAGATGTGGTGGTTGATGAGCTTGTGGCAGCCCACGCGGATCCTGTGGGGAAAGTTGCTGCATGGACACAGCCCTCGGCGGTCACAGGTCAGGCAGAGGACAGCGGTTTGCTATGCTGCCTGCGCCCCCACCTGGCCAACCCGAGCCACCAGACTGTGAGCCCCTGGAAAGTCCCAGAAGGCAGACCCCAAGGGCCCACAGTGCCATGGCTCTGTGTGGGGGCTCCCCAGAGACATCATTCATTAAGTCCTTAAAATCGGGGATTATCGTCTGGCCACAAGTGGAGAAACTGAGGCTTACGCATTTGAAATCTCTTAAGGTGACACAGCTAGTAAGAATTGAGGGAGATTTCCAATCCAGCTGGATGGTAACAGTTCCCCCTATGACATGAGAAGCCCAGCAGCTTCCTATCCCCGCCTAAGGAAGGAAGCTAAGCGCAGAGCTCGTTGCAACAGCTCACAAGAATGAGAGCAATGGGTGAAGAGGATCCAGAGGTACAAACACGCAGTCAGAAAATAAGCTAGTCATGGGGATGAAAAGTACAGCATGGGGAATATCACCAGTAATACTGTAATCACGTTATCACGCTGAGCACCATGTAATGTACAGACTTGTCAAATCACTATATTGTGTGCCTGAAACCAATATGATATTGTATGTCAACTATACTTAGATTAAAAGTTAAAATCTTATACTGTAGCCTGGCTGTATGAAAATGACTAGTAGATGGGCTTGGTAAAATCTCCTGTTATGGGGAGATTCTGTCATAAGTGCTTTGTTTTTTTTAAGATTTTATTTATTTATTTGACAGAGAGAGCGCACAAGCAGGGGGAGAGGCAGGCAGAGGGAGAAGCAGGCTCCTCGCGGAGCAGGGAGCCCGATGTGGGGCTCGATCCCAGGGTCCTGGGATCATGACCTGAGCCGAAGGCAGACGCTTAACGACTGAGCCACACAGGCGCCCCGAATCTAAATATTTTTTTTAAGATTTTATTTATTTATTTGACACAGAGAGAGAGGGAACCCAAGCAAGGGGAGTGGGAGAGGGAGAAGCAGGCTTCCCGTCGAGCAGGGAGCCTGATGTGGGACTCGATCCCAGGACCCTGGGATCATGACCTAAGCCGAAGGCAGACGCTTAACGACTGAGCCACCCAGGTACCCCGAATCTAAATATTTTTTTTAAGATTTTATTTATTTCTTTGACAGAGAGAGACACAGCAAGAGAGGGAACACAAGCAGGGGGAGTGGGAGAGGGAGAAGCAGGCTTCCCGCTGAGCAGGGAGCCCAATGCGAGGCTCGATCCCAGGACCCTGGGATCATGACCTGAGCCGAAGGCAGACGCTTAATGACTGAGCCACCCAGGCGCCCTCTAAATATTTTTTTAAGATTTTATTTATTCATTTGAGACAGAGAGATACAGAGAGAGAGAGCCTGAGCAGGGAGAGCGGCAAAAGGAGAGGGAGAGCCGGGAGCCCGATGCAGGGCTCGATCCCAGGACCCTGGGATCCTGACCTGAGCCAAAGGCAGACGCTTAACCAACTGAGCCACCCAGGTGCCACATTTGTCTGTGTTTTTAAACTTTGGGGCTGACCCACAAGCAGTGGTGAGAAAGTGGAGGGAAAGTTGCATCATGCACGAATTGCACAGAGATCTTACGTACCACGTGACAGAATCTTCAGAGTCCTGTTGTCTCTGCCGTCCCATGGGCTAGTTAGTGCTAGACTACCCTTCACCTCAACATTTGACTTCAGAATTTAAAGATTTTATTTTTAGCCTGTAGAATACATGTATGTTTTCCCTTGAAAATATTTTCCTTTTTCACTTTCAAAACTGGAGTCAACTTTATGAGAAACCTCCCCTTGGGGGCTGCTTCATGCTGGGATGTGCCCTGGGAGGGCTTGCAAGCTGTTAGCAGGTGAGTCTGGGAACACGTCCCAAGGTGCAGGAGTGTTCACAGCTTTGGGGGGAAATCAATCCATTCCTTCAATATATGTAGATCCAGTGAACTGTAGGCTTCAGTAGTATCAGTCAAATAGTTTTTTTTTAAAGAGACACCCAGGGGTTCCTGGGTGGCTCAGTCAGTTAAGCATCTGCCTTCAGCTCAGGTCATGATCTCAGGATCCTGGGATCGAGCCCCGAGTCAGGCTCCCTGCTCAGTGAGGAGTCTACTTCTCCCTTTTCCCCTCCCCCTGCTCATGTTTGCTCTCTCGAATAAGTAAATAAAATCTTTTTTAAAACATACAGAGACACCCAAACTCTCAACAGTGATGAGTTATAAAAACTACCATCAAATCCTCAAGTTACTAAGGACTGCAGCCTTGCTTCCCACCTGTGTCTCCCTAGGGATTGTGAATTCCATAGAGTTCTTCTCTGACAGCCAAGAACTGCTTCTATAATTCTAGAAACCTTTCCAGGAGCCATTCATTCCCCACCCCCCGCCCCCCGCCCTGGTATACCATCTGTCTCAGATGATTTAAAACCTAGAAACCAGCTAGTAAATAAATGTCATCCTCTTGTAGTACTTGTAAGTACCGTGCTCTTGGTGAGCACCTTATCATTTTAACATGAGAAATGCTATTTTAAGTAGGATATCATAGACCTGAATTGAAGAGGTACCACCTATAAAATATCATTGAGCAATATCACTGTATTGCCATAAAACTCAATGGGGAATAGTGATTAACTAAACTGGATCTCAGGATGAAGATGCTGTGCAGAACTTGGCCACAAAATTCTCATCCCCAAAGCATCTCAACAGAAAGACCCACTCATGAAGAAAGGGTCCTCTGGATGGAAAACTTCAGAAGTGACAACCCGTGGATGCCCGAGCCATGGGCTCTGACCACTACAGGGGCTAAAGGGGAGGGGAATCTGGACTGGCACTCGTCCCAGGGGCCAGTCATACTCCTAACAGCACCTCCATCCAAGAACAGGACGGCCAGGAAGAGACAGAGGGCAAAGGCAAAGCTGGAGCAAGAGAGGGACTCAGGGTCTCCAATGCATAGGCACAGAAAGAGGCCCTGAACCACCCTCCTTCATCCCATCTCCGGCACCCCCTCAAGCAATCTGTAGGGTGACAGGGGAGACACAACAGCAATGAAATTAGAAACTGGGTATTTACGGGTTGGTCTTGCTCAGAATGAAGAACGCGCTCCCTTCAGGAATGGGGGCGATTTTCTCCTTCATGTTCAACTCTGAGATTCTGCGAGGACGGGGGCCAGCAGGAACCTCAGGTTCATCCTCCTCCTCCTCCTCTTCCTCTTCCCCTACTTTAAATGAGACACCTTTTTTATAGGCATGAAATAACAATCGCATTCTGGTTTGAATTATTATTCGCAATTTCACATGGAGAGTAAACTCTCACATCTATCAGCTTACGTTAATCAAAACCCTTCCGAATATGGACTGAGTGAGTGTGGGGGGCCGAGAAGTGTGCCTGTCTGTGAGTGTGTGTGGTTCTGGGAAGGAGCTTCCCAGCGGTTCCAAATCTGACACACGCAGAAGGTATCAGTGGTGGGATTCTCACTGCCATACTCCCAGCACCCAGCTGTTTCCCCAGTAGCCTTGCTCAGCTTCAGCCTGAAAAACTGTGTGTGAGACTTCAAGCCAAACATGATCATCCCCCACCCCCACAGTCCCTGCTACATCAGCAATAAAAGCACCAGCAAATGTGAAAGGGTCAGGTGAGCAGTAATAACAGTAGGAATGGCTCACTGCCTCCTAAAGAGATTTCCCAGAAGAAGAGGGGCTTGCCTGGATCCACTCACACTTTCTCTCCCCACCACCTGGAATTTGGCTTACGTAAGCTACCTGGGTGACCAAGAACAAAGAGCAGGGCTAACTGCTCCACGAGGGGACCAGACCCGTGGCCTCGGCAGCCTCACCACCCACCATCACGCCAGCTGGGCTGGCCAGCCACAGACTGAGCCCCTGATCAGGTAGCAAAGCCACATCACCCATGAACTGAGAGCCTGTCACTGGCCTCGGCCACCATACCTGGCACATCACAAGGTGGGTAGGGGTCCTTATCTTCATCCTCTTCTCGATAGTCATCAATTGTAACCTAGGATGACAGAGAGGTCTTGGGAGGAGGGGAGACTCTGACTTCAATGCACTGCAGAGGACCCAAGTGAAGAATCAGCCCTGCCATTCAGCACACAGAGAGAAGCTCTTTCCAAAATACACATTGCATGTAAGTGCATGCATGCATAGGGACAGGTATCCCCAGTGATGATTCTGCTTCAGACATAGCTCTGAGGGCAGATGAGGAGAAAACGAGTAGAACCTCTACCCAGCCATGGTTAGCCAGCACCATCCATGCCCCTCTCTACCCAACACTGTCCCATTCACTGTATGCTAACTGCATGGCAGATTGCTGTCTCCCTGCTAGGATGCGAGTTCCATGCACGCAGGGACCTTGTCGGTCTTCTTCATTGCCGAGCTCCAGTATCTGCCACACGATAACCACTCAGTAAGTATTTACTGACTTAGGGAACCAAACAAATGAATGAAAAATCCCGAGCTGTCACAAGTGGGATGAAGTTTGACGGTATAGCCCTGAGCACCCAGATCCCCAATCCCAAGATTCCTTCTGGAGGCACATTTCTATTAACAATCCTCGATTTTAACCCCCCACTGAGAAGAGGCTAACAGGTCAGGTCTGATGACACAATTCCAATAAAGAAAAAATAAGTGGTCCCCCCAAGTATTTATCATGCTGGTTATTTGGTGAAACACTGATTGATCACCAGCTAGCTGCCTAAATTCACCCAGAATCCCCCTGGGAAGCCAGTGTCTACAATGGTGGGCCACACTCTCACACCAAAATACCACACAGGCTACTTCTCGTGGTGTAAATGGTACATTTGTGACGATACCAACAGATTCCTTTTGAAACAGCAAGGGGAGAAGTGTTTCAGGGCATATACCTTATTGTCACTGTTGGCTATCTGGTTGACTTCTGGTTTGTTGTTCTTTTTATTCTCCAGGCTCTCTTTTCTACAGAGAAAAGAACATGAGAAACCAAATAACCATATTGCTATGTACAGAAATGCTAATCCCGACTCGGAATCCACAGTGGCCTGATGAAGGACAGAATTTAATTGGAAACAACTCTAAAAGCGAGAACATAGCACAACCCACACTCAGAGCTTCCCGTTCACCTCAGTGCGCTGGGTTCATTACACGGATCATCTTATTAAAATTCTCATGTGAGAGCTCATTAGCATCAAACACATCATTTATTTTATGACACCACAATTAGCCACGGGGATTCTTTAAGCATGGGACCATGTGACTCCTACTCTCGGCTCTGAGGGAAGGAGAGCCGAGGGCCTGGGTTCTGCCCAAGATTCCATCCTCGGGTGAAAGCAGGGTTACCTGGCAATCTTTTTCCTCTCCTTCTCTTCAGCTTCCTCTTTCTGGGCAGTATTCAAACTTTCAGCATCAGCCAGATTGTCTACAGCGATGGCCAAGAAGACATTCAGTAGGATATCTAGTTTGAACATTTTAAGGGAACAACACAATGTCTAAATGCAACTACTTGTGGTCGACAATGGCAAAGTCACACCCCTCTGTGCTCCGGAAGGCTGGTAACAGGCGACTGTCCCCTAAGTGCTGTATTCACTTAGGAAGACCAGAAGGCTAGAGCCTGCTTAAAAAACCAAACCAAACCAGCAAAAACAAAAAAGCCTAGAAACCTGTAGAAGACAGTCTGGAAAGAAGCAAAATTAAGATCCACTAAAAGCCAGGAAAACCTATAAACCTCAACTTTTCCTTTAATAGGTGTGCATGCGTATGTGCTTGCGCAAACACGTGGGTCTCCATACACCGAGGTATCTACCGCTACCACACATACTGCATGAAACAATCTAGTATATGAACATGGTGTTGTTATGCATTTTGCATTTTGCTTTGTGCATTTTGCTTTCTTTTAAAACACACACGTACCCATAACATATATATATATATATATATATATATATATATATATATATATATATATATACAGGGCATGCTTTCCCAAATAGACCCTTTTAAAGGCTACACATTATTCAAGATGATGATTGCACAATGCAGTCTGAGTCTTTCTCATCTGAAATGGTCTTCAGAGTCTGCAGATACTCATTCATTCACCGCATAAACACTGATATATTGCCAGATGGTGCCCAACTGTTCTTTTTTTTTTTTTAAGATTTTATTTATTTTTTTGAGAGAGAGAGAATGAGAGAGAGCACATGAGAAGGGGGAGGGTCAGAGGGAGAAGCAGACTCCCTGCCGAGCAGGGAGCCCGATGTGGGACTCGATCCCGGGACTCCAGGATCATGACCCGAGCCGAAGGCAGTCGCTTAACCAACTGAGCCACCCAGGAGCCCCAACTGTTCTTTTGAATAGCCCCACTATAGCTATATCTTTGACTACTGTGGTTGAATTTTCTTTTTTCAAATCCTAAAAAGTGAGGTGGCTGAACAAGCTATCAGGTTTTTGGCTCTTACTAGAATGTTGTATGTGTGGTTTCCTTGGATAGAAGAAAAAATAATTCTGAACAAGATTCTCAAATCTCTTGGAAGATGCCTGTTTCTTATCCACCAGCAGTTAAATACATTTTTTGAGAAGCACAGGGATCAGAGGGAAGTAAGTCAAGATGGCTCCTTCTCTGAACATGCTTGTCCTTGGCTGATGCATGGTCATCTGCGTGCAAGACTGTGGGAGCCCAAGGGCCCCGAGATGGGAGAGGTGTACCACTGTCCCCCAGGCCCTGTGCAATCTGAAATCTCAGCTGGGTAACACAAACGTAACCTAACAAAGAGACTGATGATGAAATAGCTTCCAGGGGATATCATCCTTGACTAATCTATTCAAGTCTTTAAAGATGATAGAAACATGAATGAGTTGCATTAAAACTTCCAAAAAGCCTTTGGTATGTTAGACTATGTGTTAAGCAGAGCTGTAATGAGCCCAAGGAAGCGATCTGTCTTGGGTTGGGTGATGGCTTGGTAATGCAAGCCCTCCTCTGATATGTGTGGGATAATGATGGCTCAGGTAGGGATTGATGCAGGACTAACTGTATTGAGAATTCCTACCAGTGATCTCAATGAAGAAATAATATATCCTTCGTCTTGCAATGACACCAAACTCTTTTGAGTAGTGGAAAGCACATCCAGAGGGCGCCTGGGTGGCTCAGATGGTTAAGCGTCTGCCTTCGGCTCAGGTCACGATCCTGGAGTCCCGGGATCGAGTCCCGCATCGGGCTCCCTGCTCGGCGGGGAGTCTGCTTCTCCTCCCTCTGACCCTCCTCCCTCTCCTGCTCTCTGTCTGTCATTCTCTCTCTCTCAAATAAATAAATAAAATCTTAAAAAAAAAAAAAGAAAGCACATCCAGAGTAATAAACCATAGAAAAATCTTGCAAGTTTGTAATAGACAGTTTCCAAGAGCAAACACCCATCATCTGTATTTAGAGGCATTACCCAGACCCTCCTAAATAGTGGTGTGCTCTGGAATTCACTCAAAAAGATCCAAACACCTCCAACATGCTGGGGATTGTGCTGGGTGCTAGGGACATGACAGACCAGAGTCCCTATTCTCATGTAGGGGGAGACAGAACATAAACTACTTAAGCATTTCAGATAGTGATACATGTATTACAAAAAAACAAAACAAAACACACAACATGTAACCAGAATGAGTGTGGCCAGGGAATACTTCTCCACATACCTAAAGCCAGAAGGGTTCTGGCCTGAAGGGTTCATGGAGGAGAGCACAATAAGAAAACACTGATCATTCCTTTAACAAGCATTTACCAAGGGCCAACTATGTGCAAGACCCTCCACTATAGGCCAGGAGAGATGTGAATACAAAGAAGGGATTCCTGACTCAAGAAGCTTATTGTTGAGCTGGGGGGATGGAGAAGCACCCATTCCAAATCCAATAGGACCTGGCCTCCCATGCAGTAGAAGCTATAAGGATGAATCGGGTAGGAGAGTTCACCTCGGGGTAGGAGGGGTGTTGGAGCTGCCTGAGGGACTAGTGGGGTTTCTGTGTATTGTCCTTAGAAGTTTGTGCTGGGGCTTCTGCACAGAGGACAACTCACTAAAGAACAAGGGGAAGACAGCTGAAGGAATCTGGGGCTTCTTAGAAGAATCCAGGTAGGATTCTTCAAAATAAAAAAGTGAAGACCAAGAGGTGGTATTCACATATTTGTACAACTGCTCTTTCGCCAAACCCTAATGGAGGGTTCCATACGCCAGGTCTGTGCCAGTCAGGGAGGTCAGAGAGAGAGAGAGAGAGAGAGAAGACACAACCAAAAGTTACAGGGTCATAAAGGGTCTGATTGAGGGAAAGAGAGATCCAAAGTTCCAGAAGTCTAGAATTAGGGAGGGCCTCTTGCCAGGGAAAAGGAATAAAAGGAGTCAGAAAAGAGCTCAGAGCCTAACACAGCAGTTAGCCAATGGATACTTGATCCCCAGAGATGTACAGATCAGCAAAGCCAAATCTGGTCTGGGGAGCTTATGTCAAGCCACTGACAATGGGTCCCCACTGGTTAGGAAGGGTCTCAAGAGACACAGATGAACCCTAACCTCCCAAGCATGATGGCACGGAAGACCACTCGGCTCTGCCCTAAGCCTTCCCTTGGGACCGGTACAGGAGCTGTGACGCCAAGCTGGGTGACAACGAGAACAGCCCACGCATTGTCCCATGCTCCCTTCCCCAGTTTGCTCATTCCTCAAAGGCTACTGGAACTCTGACCCCACCATGCCATCCCAGGGACAGTGAAGGGGAGCAGATATTGGGCTAACAAGGTAAGGGCATTCATCTCCCCACCCCAACGGCCGCCACCACCACTACCACCGAAGGGAAGTTCAGACGGGGAGAAACAAAGCGAGATGATGATGACAAAGCCCCTGGTCAGCTTGAAGGATACAGTTACCACAAATGAAGAGGATGATGAAGTAGATGCAGACGATCATCCCTGAGGAGGACGGGCCGCCATAGGCCATAATGCCATCATACATCACGGCGTTCCAGTCTTCTCCTGTCAGGATCTAAGAGGCCAAAACCACGGTCAGTCCACACGCAGCTGGACTGCAGCTCCCGACGGCCCTCCAGAACCCACCGGGGGCCGCCCAAATCTGGTTTGAGCTACCTTTTGCTGTGCTCAACAAATCCATCGGTTACCCAGTAGAGTTTTCAAAACACTGTTTTCAATTACACAAACACAGGAGTTAATTCTTCACATGGAACTAAAGCAGCACTACATATAAGACCTACCTAATCTTTGATGACACCCCAGTTCTGCACCACCACCCCCCGGAGAGCATGCTGTTGGTGCATCTCTCTCCAGAACCTCTGTGCACATAAGCACACAGATACTCGCCCAGAGGAAAGAGGTATTGGTGTCTTCTCAGACTTATTGGACATAAAGGATGTCATACTATATGATTTTTCTGCATTTGCCTTTTTTTTTTTTTTCCACTCAACAATATACTGGAGACCCCCTGTATCAGTAAGTGCCTTCAATCCTTTCAATGGCTGCCTACTATTCTACACGGTTAATCTATACTAGAAATGGAGAATTAGACCCATGAATCTGTAGAGGCTGGGAATTCCAAATATCTCATGTAAATTTACAAACTATCCAATGAGTAGATACTAATAACTACCTGAAATTTCACATGGAATCTTCTCTACTGATGATATCTGATAACTCAATCTATCATGAGGTAAGATCAGATGAACCTAAATAGCATTTTAAAAACATACTATCTAAAAAATAATAATAATAAATAAATAAAAATAAACCATACCATCTTCCAGAGAGAGAAAGAGAGAGAGAGTGCATGTGCTTCTGTATTGTCTATCTGCCCCAGACACTTTAAAAAATAAAACTGTCATGGCTCACAACCCAACAGAAGTATGGGTGAATGATTTCAAAAGAAAAAGCAGTTCCCAGGAAAGGAACTTAGTGGCTCTTAGTCACACGAGAACATTCAGGCTCACTCCTGATAAGAGAAATAGGCATTAAAACTACAAGATACCATTTTCACCTGTCAGACAACCATCAGTTTGAACACCCACTGTGGTAAAAAGCAGTGAGGTGTCGGACAGCGTCCACCCCCCATCCCTGGAGGATGGACTGCCACTACTTTGAGGAGCGTGCCGGGCAAGAGCATCAGTGTTAGAAATGGACACACACTGTTCAAAACAGCAATTCCACCTCTGGGGAATTTACCCTACAATCTACACTCACACACGTGTCCATGGTGTGTGTTCAAGGTCACCCATTGAGCCGAGGCCGGCCACAATGAAATATTCATCGGCTAGGGACTGGTTACATGAATTAGGGGACATCCACACCACAGAATTTTTGCAGAATTGAAAAGTAGGAGGCAAACTCTTATGGACCAATAAGATAGATTCTTAAGGACACTTGAAATGGTGAGAAGCTGGAAAACGGCACATAAAATGAGCTACCATCTACATCATAGGACATTCATTGGGAGGTAGGTTGGTTGGTAGGTTCACTGATTTACATCTAAGGGCAACTACATCTCAAAGAATACACAGAAACTATTCAATGGTGGTTGTTCCCCAAAGGAGAAATTGGTGGCTGGGTGGGAAGGAGACTCATTTGTTACTTTATATCCTTTTGTAAACATCTGAATTTTGTGCCACACACAGGTGCTACCAAAAACCACCACCACCATACGGGTTTCTCTGAAAGAAAACAGAAAAAAGAATAACTAATCAGTGGCTACAAATTAAGTATAATCTAAAAAAATTAAAGTATATTTCAAAAAAGTATGGCCCCATAGCAGCGATAGTAATTCTATTCTCAAAATGACCAAGTGGAAACGAATCTTACAGATCATTCCCTCTAGTCTCTTGGTTTTTTGTTTCGTTTTTGTTTTTTTTTTTCCACACAGGATAGTGACTTTCCAAGGTCACAGAGCCGAGCACTGAAAGGGCCGGCAGGGGACCTCGATGTCTGCGGTCCCTCCCACCAGGCCTTCCTGCCTCCCAGGCCGGGCTCCGGAGCTCGCTGATGGCACATGTGAAAAGCGACAAGGGCAGATGGGTCTTTAAAATTTATCTGCCACTGTCTGTTTAAGGAAGGGTTTCGGCTCACAACGTAGGAAGAGGGGGTTGAGAACACCTCCACTTAAAGCCAGGCGGGGTGCGGAGGTCGCTGCTCTGAGTGCAGAGCCACCTGCCGAGCCACCTGCCACCATCCCTCCATCTCAGCCTTGTCACCTGCACACAGGCTCCATGCTCGGGGCCTGCCAGTCCCTGTTACATCACAGGAGGGAGAAGCAAGGGGGCAGAAGGCTGTCACAACTCTTCTAGCACCCTGATTCCTCTGACTACACACCGGAGCATGAGGGCTTTAGAATTCACCTCCTTGCACAAACCCGTTAGATCCAGGATCACAAAACTTGCCTGCAATCAAAAATTCACAAAGAACAGGAAGAGGATTGTAGAGCCTATCTCCCAGGAACCTTGGAAACCTCACAAAATCAAACAGATGTTTTTGGCTTATTATTCTGTCCCATATCCAGTGGTCTTACGAAAACATGAAATCACGCCCCCTAGATAGCTGGAGTCAGGTGCGCAACAATCGACTTCAGTGGCGCAGGATTTGTCAGAGCATTACTGGGGCAGAGGTCACTAAATCCAGCAGAATCATCCTGTCTTCCCGAGCTGTGAAGGGACAGGATGGCGTCTCACACGGCCTCCTCACATGGGCTCACCTGGAAGACTGTCAGAAGGGCTTGAGGGAAATTGTCAAAGGTGCTCCGCTTGGTCTGCGTTTCGTCAAAATTAAACTTGCCACCAAACAGCTGCATCCCAAGCAAGGAAAAGATGATGATGAAGAGAAAAAGCAGAAGCAACAGCGAAGCGATGGACTTCATGGAGTTTAACAAGGAGGCCACTAAGTTGCTCAGGGAAGTCCAGTGCCTACAAGTCAAGATGGGGGTGTGAGCGCACAACGCGCACGGGACACCGCGGACATCACGGGGCCAGGATGCAGCTGCTCACCACCCCCCGGCCAGAAAACGCCTGCGGTGAGTTACACGCGCTCTCACCTGGTCACCTTGAAAATCCTTAAGAGGCGCACACACCGAAACACAGAGATCCCCAGGGGAGACATGATCTCCAGCTCCACCAAGATGGTCTCGGTAATTCCACCGCACACCACGAAGCAATCAAACCGGTTAAAGAGAGAGACGAAATATGCCTGGAGACCCAAGCTATACATTTTTACCAGCATCTCGCAGGTGAACAGAGCCAGGAGGACTTTGTTAGCGATATCTGGAAAGACAAAGGGTCTCATCGTGGGTGTGGCTCAGACTGGTCTTCCCTCCCCAGACCTCCCTCCCACCGGTCTCTGCTGGAAACGCCCCAACATCTTGCCCCGGTCTTCGTGATGGCCCCCATTACAGACATGTGGCACCAACGTTTATGGTCTGTGTGCCGGGTTCTAGTCCTGCATCTATTACCACCTAGATGTGGGACTCTGGAGAAGGCCCTTGCGTTCTCTGCGCCCCAGTTTCACCAACTATAAAATGGGGAGGAGCAGGTTTACCATACAATCTCTGAGGCTTTCTAGCCCTAAAAGCCTGTGCTCCTGCATTTACACCAACATATTATATTTTTTGTTTCAATCAGTCACAGAAAGGCCAGTCTGGTCTTGATTAGGGCACCATGAGATAAGCAGCAGTTGTCTATCAGAGTCACTTCTAACCACAGAAAACAGCACCCAGCAGGCTGGAGAGCTAGACAGAAATAGGACCTCCCCATGGATCACAACTGACCAACTCAGAACAGGCTGTCTCTGGGGATGAGCTCCTGTCCCACACTCCTGGGGCCTTCCAGGTAGGGGAGAAACAACCACTTGCCCAGAATACCATATGGGAAAATAAAGCTTCCAGTGGGGGTGGGGAGAAGGGGGATGAGGTCCCTGCCAACTACAAGATTCCTTGGCCCTAGGCTGTCATAGGGTTAAGACGGAGAACACAGAGATCCCCAGGGGAGACATGTTCTCCAGCTCCACCAAGATGGTCTCGGTAATTCCACCGCACACCACGAAGCCATCAAACCGGTTAAAGAGACAAAATATGCCAGAGACGAAATACGGCATCAGCTGGCCCCAGCACAGCATGTGGGCTGCGCCCCCACCACTCCAGGTGCAGCCTGGGTTTGGATGGTTCCTCTGGCTTCTAGCGCCCCCGGAAATGTCCCGTCACTACACATGGATCAGCTAAGACGAAACTGCAGCTGGACAGCCTCAGGAAGCCCTAATTCGGGATCAGAACGAAAAGAACACAGTCTCTGCTCGCACCTTGAATCTGCGTCAGCCAGTCAGGCTGGTGGTAGTGCTCAGAGGAAATGGTTAAGGTGTTGAGAAACACCAGGACAATAACCAGCCAGTAAAACGTGACAGACTTCACAGCAGCCCGACATCTTCTGCGATTGAAGCGGTTCCAGCGACGCCAGCGTCGGCTGCAAGAGAAGCAAACGTGACTCCGTGAACAGTAGAAGCGGCCTCTGAATGCCCGATAGACGTCATGAGGACAGAATTTGTCTTTAGTTCTGGAGATCCAGATCAGGGGGTGCAGGAAGGAAAGATGAGAACACATGGCATAGAGATGACATTGGTCTTTAAATACTTTAAATGTGTAATCTTGACCTGATCGTGCAGTTTCCTTCCTATGGCTTTAGGCGACTCCATAATCTGCCATGCACAGTCCTCAAACCAGCTAGAAAAATCTAGATATTCATAGATTCGTCTGCAGATGCAAGACTGAGCCTGTACACATATATGCAATGTACATTCCCACCATATGGCACATGGATCTGTTCACACTGCGAGTGTAGAGAGCCGTTTGGCTTCTCATACACATCTCTTGCGGCATCTTAATCATCATACAGAATTTATCAGGCAGCAAAGTGCTCCAAACCCAGATTTCCTTTTACAGAAACTTTTGGTCCTTTCTTAAATCTGGGAGGTTTCTCTGGAGCCTGGCAGACTTGTCAAAGCCGAGTAGGACATGAGTCTTCCTACTGAGTCATCCGGTGCCCTTTCTAACTAGTGAGGCTCAAAATATACCTTCAGGAGAAGAGCCAATATTGAATTGTGTTTTCATACAAATAAAATGAGCTGAGCCAGACAGACAAGTAGCATGTCCTCTACTGACTTTTAGTTCCGGCTTGTGATTAGGTTAAGTATTCCCTCCCTTAGCCTGTTCTCCCTGTGGGAAAAGTTCCCTGCCACAGGACGGACTGGTGAAGTGGGTCCCGGGAAAAGGCCAGCCGAGTAGTGATGCCAGCCCTGTGCAGGCTGTGCTCATGGATGGGGACGGTGGACACTTCCTCCAGGGACCTGAGTCAGAGGAATCCCCGGGCTGCGTCCTGGCTGCAGCTCTGGCTGACCCAGCTGCTTTGCTATGCTGAACACATCATAACCCAGGGACCAGGCGAAGAAAGAACTGTGCCCACTCTTCAACAAGACCTGCAACTAGAAAAGTGCACTTTGTTCTTGCTCTTGCTATGTGGTTTCCAGTGGTAATAGTGGCTGGAAACATGATGACCAGTATAGAAAAACCCCACTGAGGACACTGAAGCCTGCCCCTGAGGCTGGGTTTCTCCTGCGATGCATAATTCAGTACACACAAGCAAGGTGGTCTGAAAAAGGACCAGTGTTGGGTCTATTTATGCTGCAGTAACAAGTCTCAAGTGTCTCCCAAATCTTGGAAGCCTCACTGTCCCATCTCCTGAAGGCCTGCAGCACTTCCCATCCTGCCCCTCACTTGGGGCTCCAGACACTGGGTCTACACAGGTGAAGAAGACGCACCGTCCTATAGCCTCTGATCTTGAAAAGCATGCAAGGTTGGGGCAAATAATTATCCATCCCCACTCAGTGATGTACTCAGCATCCTGGGTACAGGAACAAAAAGACAGGAGCAGCAAATGCTCTTTGCAAGAGTCAGGAAAGGCCTCCCTGAAAAGCTGAGATTTGGGCTGGCTCTGGTTAAGAGAGTAAGAGTTCACCAGGGGCAGACAGGAGGGCACTCCACCCAGAAGGGACTGCATGGCCAAGGGGACTGAGGTGGGAAGAAACAGAGCCTGGTGAAAACGGACAGCAGTCCAGTAGAGCCACAGAGTGGGGAGTGTGGGAGGGATGCCAAAAGATCAGGCCAGAATGTGAGCCGGGGGCCAAATGATGAAGGAAGGTATATGCCCTCTGGCAATAGGGAGTCAGGGAAGGGCTTCCAATTGTTTTTAAAGTCAGGTTTATTGAGATACAATCGACATATGATAATTATTCATATTTAGGTATAGGGTTTGTAACCACCACCACAATCAAGAGGTAGAATATTTCCATCACTCAAAGAACTTCCCTCATAGCTCTTTGTAATAGGTAACCCACCCTCCTCACCTCAGCCCCTGACAGCTACTGATCTGCTTTTTGTCCCTATCGTTTTGTTTTATCCAGGATGTCCTATAAAGAGAATCATACAATATAGAGCTTTCTGAGACTGGCTTCTTTCACTTAGCAAAAATACTTTCCAGACTCATTTGTGTTGTATCTACCAGCAGTTTTTTCCTTATTGCTGAGCATTATTCCAACATATGCATGAACTACAACTTGTCTACCAATTCACCATCTTATGGACATTGGATTTACTTACGGTTTTCAGCAATTGTATACAAAGCTGCTATAAACTCCTATATAAAAATTGCTCATGCAGGCATATACCGTCATTTTATATGAATACCTCAGAAGGGGAATTGCTGGATCATAGGGTAAATATATGTTTAACTTTCCAAGAAACCACCAATTTGTTTTTAAAATGGCCATGCCATGCACCATGCAGGAACACATGGGAATTCCCACTGATCTGCATCCTTATCAGAACTTGGTATTGTCAGATTTTAAAATTTGATCCACAGGTATAAAAAATGTTCTAAAAGGTGTGCAGTGGTGTCTCATTGTGATTCCAATTTGCATTTTCTTAGGGACCAATGGTCATTCTATGTGCTTCTTTGCCATCCGTAGCTTTTTTGGTGACATGCCTATTGAAATCTCTTGGCCATTTTTTTTGTTGTTTTCTTATTACTCACATCATATTTACATAGTATTCTTTTTATATAGTGGATACTACTCTTTTATATCAAATGTTTTGCAAGTATTTTTTCTTCTGGTCTGAAGCTTATCTACTCAGATGGCCAGTATTTCGGGTATTGTATCCAAGAAGAAACCTTTGGCCAACCCAAGGTCACAAAGACTTTGTATGTTTTCTTCTAGAATGTTTACAATTTTAGGCTTTACATTTATTCCTAAGTCCATTTTAAGTTAATTTTTATATATGGTGGTAAAATGTCATTTTTAATTGAAAAATAACATTTACATGGAAAAGTACACAAATCATAGGTATATGGTTCAATGAGCTTTTAGCAACTAAACATGTAACCTGCATCTAGAGGCAAGGAACAGAACATCACTAGCACCTCAGAAGACCTCTCGAACTTTCCCCTCCATAGAAGACTTTTAAGCAGAAAAGTGACAAGAAATGTGTCTCTTTGAGAAATGACTCAGGGTGGGGGCAATATAAAGGGTGGATTAGTGACAAGAAATTGTTCATTGTTGCAGCTCATTGCTTTGTTTTGGGGCAAGATCTTCAGCACCTATTATGCTGCTCTCCAAGGCAGGTATTGAATATTGACTGGACAGACTGATCTTCGATACGAATGTCCTCGCCCATAGAGTAAAAATCAAGTCTAGAGCATCTCCATGTATAATAGAGAAGTTAGAAAGTAAAACACCAACACACAGGCTTAAGAAAAAATAGATGATACTGACCTGAGCTTGGATTTTGAGATGGCTTGGCTGAAAGAAAGACAAAAAGAATAGGATTTCTGTTAGGAAGGCTTGAGCATACGCTCCCCGTCACTTCAGCTGGGAGATCAGAAAAGCCATGCACAGAAGCCTGGGCTCAGCATCCCCAGCTCCCCCAGTGAGCCATCAGGGGTGAGAGCAGAGCAGGAGACAAGACACCCTCCAGGGCCCAGGCACGAGAAGACTCTTAGCCAGCGGCCCTGCACAGCCCTGTCAGAGGCCATGATGCCAGGGGTTCTTCTCCCCGGACCCCACTTCCCCAGACTGAAGTCAGGGGGGCCCCTGCTCGCCTCTCAGCCACTCAGCAGTAGCATGTACTGCTGCTACAGCAAAAAGAGCACTGGACTAGGAGTCCTAGCTCTGCTCTTTACTAACTGCATGGCTTCGGGCAAGCAGCACACCTTGTTGAGCCTCAGTGTTCTCATCTGTAAAATGAGGAAGACGAATCCATCCCCCTGCCTACTTCACAATGCTGTAGGGAGGGCGGAGCAAGACAAGAGAGGCAAATTCACTTCTTAAACTGCTGAGCGTTCTGCCCAGAACACATCATTTTTATGAATCACTGCCAAGAAGATCAAATTCTCTTAAAAACACCGCCTCTACTTTACAGAGACAAGACCTAAGGGATACCAGCAGGAAGCAAATGAACCAAAATTGCATGGGCTCCCCAAAGCAGGCAGTACTCTGCACATTGCACATTGCTGGTCCCCGCTGGGGACCAGGTCATCGAGACAGAAGCCAACAGGGGTGAATGTGGTGGCGCCCTCCACCGTTAGGAGAGGGTGGTGCAGGGCTCCCCAAACAAGTGCCGTGAGGTCTCAGGGTCCAGCCGCCACGCAGGGGATTGGGGGAACCCGCCAGGGAAGGAAAACTGAAATATGCAGCACATTCTGTCAGCCACTCTGCCATACAAGCTCCTCGTCAAAGCACTGATGCCAACACCAGACCGGGAAGAGAATCAGGCCTGTTACCCCCACCGCCGACACCCAGAGGGCCCAGCCTTGGCCGTGCCTCTTCTTTTCCACCAGCACCTAGTGGACACAGTGGAATTGTCGGGTTACCTGGCACGCCTCGCGGCAGGCTCCGCCTCGGCAGGACGGGCTGCTCTAGGGCAAGAGGCATGTGAAACGCCGGGGGTCTGGGGGCCTGGGATGGGATGGATGGGGAGGGGGACCAAGGGGTCCAGGGTGAGCCCACCCACCCCTCGTGCATCTGAGGCTATGGCCTGGGGTGCCTGCCCCACAGGTGCTCCCCTAAGAAGACAGGAGGAGGCAGGAGGGCAAGCGGCCTCCACACTCACCAGAGACTCCCACAGCCGCCTTGGTTCTCGCCTCCGCCACTCACGTTCTCTGTGTTCACCGACTCGGTCTCGCTGGTGGGCATGCTGGCTGCGGGGAGAAGACAAGGCTTTAGCCGGCATGCTGGAGGCGCCGCATGCCCAGGAGTGGGCCGGTTGCAGATCGCCGCCTCCAGGCAGGCCCTCTGGGAGCCCAGGAGGAGGGCGAGGAAGGGTGAGAGGCCAGGCACCTCTATGGCAAGGGAGTCCCTGCTTCCGTGATCTGCCGATCTGCCGAGAAAGCCCACAGAGAACCACTCCCCTCCCGAACAGGAGGAAGCTCTGTCCATTCAGACACTTCTCAAGAAGCCTAGGGGCCGAACTGAACCCAGCTGCTGTGCCTGGCACCAGCTTATTCTCTTACCTTCCAGGAGTGCACTGAGAGTCCACCAAAACAACTCAAGCTACAGTGGCATCTTTGCTGGCCCCAACTGGTGTTCTCTAGAAAATCTGTGACTAGACCAGTATTTCATACATGAATTCTTATTGTAAATATACTGAAGGAGAAGAGGTATTAGATCCAGGAGGACATGAAGGTACCAAGCACAAAATCTTTTTAAAAATTTAAGAACTCTACTCATTAGTAGCTAATATATCTGCTAAGTTCCACTGAGCTTGTGAAGCCAACATGAGGAAGGCTCTTTCCAAAGCAGCCAGAACTAGAGCACAAAGGAAGTACAGTCTTACAGGTAGAAGGTTTTCTCCCAAGCAGTGACCAGAGGGCAAAACTGACTATGGTCTTGGTGTCACCGGGGTCTCTGGGCATGTCTCATTCCTCTACAGCTGGATCCTGAGCAGAGGAAGTGGAGGGAATGTAGAAATGCACTAGCTGTGATGGGAGGCCCAGGGACCCACCATCTGGCATATGGGCATTATTTCTCATCCTCCTGATTCAACCTTATAAGCATCCTAAAAATGTGTTGGAGCCGGGCCATGAAGGAGATGGAGGGCACAAAGAATTGCACCTGCCCTGGAAAACCCATGGATTTCCATGAACTACGAAAAGAGCCACCTCGGGGGTCCATGCAAGGAGTTCTGGAAACATGCAGTAAGGAATAACAAATTCTGCTCTAGGGTTTGGAGAGGGGGTCCTGAAGATGGAAATGTGGGAGAATCACCCAACCACGTGCATTTTTTGCCCTGATGCATCTTTTTGACCTATAGCGACCACCTTTATAGACCTTGTGGTATCAACAGGAAGGCCTTCCCCCCTGTGGGCTCTGCCGATGCGGCTCCTCTTAGCAAGGATGCCTCCCCTTGGATCTCCAAAGGCTGGTAGTGGTTCTTAGTGCTGTGATGGAGATTCTGAGGCCAGCCCGGGCACAGAGGCCAGAGGAGCTGGGTCAGTGAGCTCTGTGTAGGCGAGGGACACGGTGAATGACAAGGATGAAGGTGGGCCTGACCTGAGAGGCCCAGAGAGCTGAGAAACATCTCTTCTGAGGGCACCAAAGAGAGTCCTTTTCCCTCTGGGGGCACCCAAGGAACTGAGCCTGCCCAGGTGGGAGACTCACAGCCGTGTCTGGGAGTATTTAGACAAAGGCAGCAAAGACAAAACGAGCAAAACGACAGACCCACGTCACACTACTGATATTCTCTTAGAATAACCTTTCCTCCTCAATTAAGTCAAAAGAAACCAACTACTAACTTTGATTCACTTTTTTTACAATTCCACGTAAAAACCTGTCAAAAATAAACCAAAAATCCTACACGATCAAACCACAGAAAAACCTTTAACAAAAGCTCCGTAAAGACACACACACACACACACACACAGAGGCACGAAGCTGCTCACGCAGTTCTCTTCTCCAGGACTGATTTATGCTCTGACTTGAAAAGACAAAAACGTTGTAAAATTCAATGAAGTTCACTGCTACGGGCTCCTCCCATAGGTCACCCTTGTCTTAAGTGACAAAGAAAATCACAGTGGGAGACTCCTACAAATATGACCGTGAGTCATCTCTGTGGAACGCTCTTCTTGGTAGTTACTGTCGCCACTAAGGGGCCAGCAGTTGAGAGCACGTGACCCAGGGCAGGAGTGGGGGTCAGTGGGGGGCCCCGGTTAACGTTTGACTGAGCTGGGCACAATCTCACCTCTCTGCAGGCTGCAATGTCCCATGCGGAGAGTGGTGGTGCTCCCTCCACACTCTCGAGGGCCACTTCTACCTCTCACCGTTTAATGTTTCACGGTTCTACTACTAATCATCCTAGATCTGTAATTATTCTTTCCAAAAGAGCAAACTTCTTCTGAACAGGCTAAGTCACTGTGGCCTTTTACCCTCTGGGGCCCTGTCCTGGGAGAAGAGCAGTGCAGTTGCTGCATGTCATTCCTAAAGCTTCTTTTCTTCCAACCATCCGATCAAAGCAGATGAATCACATGCTGCCTACGGGGTGGGGGGCATTTTGCATTTCTGGCTCCGTGCCAGCTATTAGTGAATGAAATGTACTAGTTAGTCCCTGAACGTGAGAACCAAGTGGGGAGAAAGATAAGGAACAAAGGCGAACTCCCCAGACAGAAACTAAGAGAGGTTAATGGTGTGGCATGGTGTCAAGGCTGCACTGATGGAGAGAAGTTTCCCTGCCCCCCTGGCAGACTCCATCCTTCGGTAGCTAAAAGTGGACTCTTGGATCAGCCAGATCCCAGTTTAACCCCGCCTCTGTGGCTGAACTTCTCCAATGCTCCATTTTCTCATCTGGGGCTATTGGCAGAACTGAGTGAGATAAAATGCATGGTGGGTTTTCCCCACAGTCCTGGGTCATCCTATGTGGGTCCACAGTGTCAGGCAATCGGTGAGGCTCAGACATGGTAGTTGTCACCTCAAGAAAGCTCTCCTGGAGCTCCCTGGAAGCAAAGGGACACTTCATGCTGGCCCAAACCCAGGGTCCCTTTGCTCTGACCACTCTTGCAGAGAGACACCTAGTGTGAACAGTCTTCCACACGCCTGAGTCAGCTTTGGCTGTGAAGTAGGCAGGGGGATGGATTCGTCTGCGAACAAACCATGGTTTGTATCTTTTTATCTCGGACGAGTCATTTCTGTCTGACTTTGCCTGCAGTAGAGATAGTATCTTTTCTGTCTTAATGGTTAGACACTGAGAGAGCCACGCACCCATAACAAACAACCTATTCCGGAATAACATCAACCAGAGCTGAGTGAGGGGGAGGCAGAGGAAGAGCACAGTGACTGCTAGAATTGGGTGACCTCATTTGGTCCCGGAAATGGACCATGATCCAGTGCCTTCACCTGAGCAGAGGACCCAGGCTCTGGTGGGGGGCCTTGGCAGCCTTTCTCTCTGCTCCAGCCTTTCCCTCCCGGTCACCGGGGAGCACTTCCTTTCCCCAAAGTACGGAGACAGCAGGCCCAGTGGGCAAAAGGAGCTTGTTTGTACATAAGCATTTCACCCTTCACTTGTACTGGGCATTCCTTATATTTAGTGATAAAAAATTGATGCGAGTTTCACTTCGCTTAGTCCCATTGGGACTTCATCTATGTTTTTACTATCAGGACAGGAGGATCACAGACTGTTAGAACCGGGACGGGCCTCTGAGATCACATGAAGCAGCTCTGTGATTTCACAGAGGAGAGACCTGACCAACCGGCCTCGGGATGCACAGTCCAGGTGTGAGAAAGCTCTCCTGCTTCCCACCTGGCGTTCTTCCCACCTGGCCATGCCCCCTGGGCTTGTGGTATGTGCTTAAATACACTAGGATATGTTTTGGTATCAGTATATGTTGACATGTATATTGGTATGCCCTTAAAACTATACTTAATATACTGGTACATGTTGGTATATATTGGCATATCCTTAAAATGCCACACATTAAAAGTTCCAAAAGCCAAGCAAGCCTATTCTCCATCAGTCTTGGTTTGCTGTCCTGATGACCTCAGTTAAACCCCTGAAACCTGGTATGCAGCCAGACCACCTCCAGAAGGCCACCCCAACAAAGAGAGAGAACAAAGGTCAAGCCACTGTGGTGACTATTGGGACTTTATGAAAATCCATGTAAGTAAGCCCACGGGAAAATTCCTGGAACACAAGCCCTTTCCCCAACTGGCTGCCATAGCCTCATGGCTGCCCCGTGCAGGGGGAGCACTTTGTCCCCTTCAGGACAGTTTCAACAGAATGGCTGACAAGCGGCTCGGCTAGTTAGGGATGCAGGCTGAGACTCCCCCTGCTCCCCGCTCCCCGCCCCCCGCCAAGTCCCATCATGTCATCTAGAGGCAGAAGCAAGCCAAGGGGCCATCTGCATGCAGAGCAGCTGTAAATCCTTTCCCTCACACATTCCAGGGAACTTGAGAGCTCTGTGGAGCAAGTTTGCAGTTTTTTAAAATACAAGTTTTAAAACTATTTCCAGAATCTGGGGTGAAACCAGGCATTAGGACAAGCCTGTGCCTAGAATGGGATGCTGACCTGCACTGCAATTTGCCTGCTGAAAACCTGGGGAAGCGCAGGGCTAATGCTTTGCAAGCTCCTCCAGGCACTGGGATCTCCGAGAAGAGCTGCAGGGCAGACCCCGAGGCTTCAGATGTGGGCCGGCTGAGCAAAGGACCTGAGGGCCGCTGTCGGGGAGGAGGTGATGCCAGACAGCAGCCCAGCGGGCCCTGGACTGCAGACGAAAGCCACCCCAGCCTCCGCAGGCGGGGCCCCGCTGGGAGCGCTCTCCGCGGATGCTGTGCCACGTTTTTGCCAAGATCTGCTGCTGGGCCCGGATGCTATCACTGGCAGTGCTGCACAAAAGAAATGGGGAAAACACGCCACTTCTCAGGCCAGCACAACTAGCTAGCATTTTCACGGACACGTGGGCCCACACACACGGTGAATGAGTGTGCGTGTGACTGCAAGGAGGCAGCCCCAAAATTGTGTTCACTATTAACAGGCACAGCAAAATCTCCGATCCTTCCATGACAGAGGCTACTCAGCTCAAAAGACACAAGAAGGAATGTCAGAGAAGCTTGGCCTTTGTCACCGGTAACGTGGGGACAAGTCCTTTCCCTTTTCCTGGCCAATCTAGAACAGGGGCTGTTGGGCAATATCATCTGTAAGACCCATTTACAA